GGATTATTATTCGATAAACAGTTAAAGACTAATTTTTAAAATGTTTTAAATTAAACTCTCATCAGGCAACGGAAGAGACGTTAACAAATAAGTAAATTAAGAGATACATCATTAGTTAACAGTCAAGTTATCATCTTTGTATGGTGCCTTACCATATAAAGATAATAACGTTGATTTCCATGGACATAACACTTTCTCCATTTTTAAAAGCTTTTTTCCAAAGGTAATTTATTTTTACCAGTTCATTAATCTGTTCTGATATATGAGTATGTATATCGATTGGTCTATCTGACCATGTCATGACAAAAAAATTGAATGTAGCTTTATGTAAAGAGCCTAATCAGATAAATACATTTATCATAATTTGGCTTCAGAACAGACAGCTCTGAAGGCTGTAGGGCATTCAGATAGTTTTCTTTAGGCGATAGGAGAAAATGGTGTCATCTGTGTATAGAGATTTATTTGACCTTTAATATTCATGTTGCCCCTAATTTCATTATAACTAACGTTTCTATGACTTACAAGAATAAATACATCAATAGGGGGCAACCCTCTCTGTCTCCCCTAGATAATGAGAAGCTTTGTGATAAATAGCCACTGTTTATAATAATACTTCATAGATTATTGTATACTCTAACCCACTCTTCTTTATCAAAGAACTACCAGAAATAGAAAATCCCTTTACCTTATAGATGTACTCCAATAGATGTACTTATAGATGTACTCACATTTCCCTGTGTCAAAAGCCTTTTCAGAATCAGCCACAAAGATTAAGCCAGGTTTCTTGTTTTTCTCATAAAGTTTGATAATTTCCAAGAGATGTTAAATACCAGCACTAGTTACATAAATAACCGTTTTAATACTAGAGGCAATGTACATAGAGAATATTCTATTCTCGCTAGATAATAAAGAAAATGGTATTGATAATGTTTTTTTTCTTTTAATTGAACTGGATCTTAATTTTCCTCTTGTTTTAAGAGAAGAGGGATGAGTCCCTTTTGCTGAGTTCCAGACACCAATCTCAAAAGAATAGTTGAAATATGTTAAAATTGTATTGTAGGAGTAAAGAAAAGGGAGTATTCACATAAAGGAGAAAGGCTGGTTTCTTATGTATTGGATAACATGTGTTGCTAAAGCTCAAAAGCCAACCACAACAATATTTAAATAAAACCCAACATTTCAGAAAGACATCAGTTTTGACCTTCAGGGCCACCATATTATTATTACCAAATTATCACGCAAGCACAAAATCCTGAATAGTTAAACCAGATTTATCGAATAAAAAAATGGCATATTTTGTATATAATAATATCAATGTTATTGTTACATTGATGATACATTTCAACCCTGTTATTTGAATATACTTGTATCTATGATGACTGATGGTGAACTTGCTCTTACTGACCCCAGTATGGAGCCTGATGTCTTTGTCATTAAATTAGGCCAGCCTAATAAAACACTTTCACCCAGTCATTTATTAAAGTGATCCAAACTAAATAGAAAGCCTGCTGGGTTTATACCAGGTCAAGAGCTGAGCCAGGTCAGAAGTGTGTTGTTGTCACAATTACATTTTGTGCAGCTGTCTTTTGTTCTTCTGTTGTGTCAGCCATCTGAAGCAAACAACTGCAAACAGCAGTATCTTGTTTATTTCATGTGGGCCACATCTCTGATGGCCTGTAATGACCCTTCATGTTATCAGAGTCTTTGACAGTGAATTTATGGAATGATTTACCATATGCTGATTAAAAGAAATAGGTTCAGATTTCTCAAAAGTCTCAAAATGGGAAGGAAATGCATAGCAAAACTAAAAAAGAAAACTGTGTCATAAGGAAAATTCAACATTACTGTATGAAGGGAATGAAAAGTGGGAGGGGGGTTATGAAAATGAGGGAAGCCCTTTTTTATGGCTCCCTTCCTTTTCTATTGCACATCGAGACTGTTAAAGAAGAGCTACACATTTCCCCTTCTAAAGAGGAAGTCAGCTTGATGAACTTAAGTCCCCCACTGACCCACAGGTTTCCCTCATTGTTTGGTTTTATTCCTCATGTAGAAATTAGTTACAGTATTTAGAAGTGTATTTTATTTGGTACATAACAAAAATATAGTGGTAATATCATGCAACAAACGAAAACAGCATTTTAAGTAAGACCTTAAAATTAGTATAGAAAAATACTTTATAAAGAGTTAACTAAATCATCACACACTCCCAATGAAACAGTTATGAATATCATAGAAATGTAAAGTAGAATTTTTAATTCCCTCAGAGGAATATACGTATGATTGCAAGAATTATTGCAAGTTATAACAAGGTTGATTTATCTCTTTGCTGATCTAACGCGATGTAAAAGCATTTTTTTTTCTCAAAAATAAATCTCCTCCTTCTTCATTTTAATTATCTAACAACAAACTTACAATAATTATTTGCTGTGGAAGTACGTGCATTTTCTGCAGGGTCTTGCCTGGTCTGACACACTACCACAGGCGGGACAGGCATCACAGAATCATTATCAATTTTAGTTTATTTCATAACCAGTTAAAAACTCTTCACAGTAGCTTTAATGATAAACAAGCTCGATTGTGAGATAATTGAGGAAGGCAGTTTCGCAGGACAATTAACTCCCAGTTTGTTTTGATTATAGCCATTAAGAACATGGACTGGATCAGTAACTCCAAGGTTTGGACTCTTGTAAATTATATAAAGGTTGTGTTCAGAGTTTAGAAGTAGCTTTAATTCCTAAAAAAGCAGATGCATGGAATGCTGCATGGGTGCTGAAAAATAATTTGAAATAGTTCCTCTGGTACTCTTATAGCTTGAATTAATACAACAGTTCGGGAGGTAATCAGAATCAGACTGGGTTTTAGATTTAGAGAAGATGGCATCATCTGTGCAGAAATGCATTTGTCAATCTTCAGCCAGAACATAAATACTAGAGTAATTAACAAAGGACCTAACATTGGTCCTTGTGGAACACCATTTTCAACAATCTCTGGATTAATCTGATTCGAAGAAATCTCTCTAAATATTCGGTCTACGGTTATAATTTAAAAAGGAATGAATCAAAGCCATTATGTTTTTATTAATCACATTTTCAAATTGCTATTTTTCTAAAACATATCACTGCAACAATATTTGCAAACATTTTGTAATTTGTTAGTCATTTAAAACACTAAACTGTAATTATCTCATAGTATTTAATGTATACAAATTCATGTGCATGGTGAATTCAGTTGGTATTTCCAAGCCAAGATTTGAAGAGAACCTGATTTAAACCATCAAATATAATTTTAATATTCTCACATTAGCTATAGTATACTGCATCATGATAACACTTTAAAAAGGTGACCAAGTGATGTAGGTCTGTTTAATGTTTTGGGTCATTAATCTCTTTTGGGTTACAACATGTTAACTGCAATTACAGTAATAAACTATAAATCAGAGACAGAACTATTACGTAAAGAGACAGAATGAGCTTTGAACCCTGCAAAACATCTATAATGACAACCTGTGGCCTCAGCTGTGCATTTGTGCAGTACAACTAAACGGTGTACTTCCTACTGCCAAGCAAAACCCAGCACTGTTATGCCAAAATGAAACTGTCACACCACAAAGAGGTAGGAACTACCCTCTGTTTAGTATTAAAGGAGGAGGAATTTTCTGCAGATTTTTGGATATTTTGAAACTAACTGTCTTATCTCAAAGGAAATTTCACAAAAAAAACTTTATCTTTGCCCTGCCGGTCTGCACCTGACACATTGTACTTTTTTTTCACCATTATCAGATGTTTGTATTTTTTGTCACACCTGTTGTGTTCAGTTAAATTAACATTGTGTTTTCCATGCATGCTCTTTTTGTCCTCAGAAAGAGACTTTGACATATGCTTCTGTTATTAAAATTAAGTTTGTTGACAAAAAAAGCTGTCACTGCGGCCTTAGGGACAAATTATCAAACCCTGAACACATTGTGCTATCACCGGGTTAACACATTTCATTTCATTTCCAGTAAATAAACTGAGAGAATAAAAAAACCTTTACAAGTGGAAGGACACAGCTCAGGGATTACTCAGTTTTGATTCATTTGCATCTTTCATCCTCATTTGCATCATGATTGAGTCTTGTCTTTAGATACAATTAAAGAGGCCCCAGTGACAATCTTGAAATAAATTATGGTGAAAGATAGCTAAAAAAAAGACCACACACAAAACAATGACATTTGAGTGCTGGAATGATTACAACACAACATTGTTTTATTTCAACAAAAGTACATTTAAAGCCAACATCTTTGAAACGTTGTTTCCCTGCTCTCCTATTGATTAATGCAGCTTTGTTAAAGATCATGGGATTCTCTGTATGTAATACATACATGAAAATGGGAACACATTTATTTCATTTAAATCAATACGATTGAAGGCTCAAATCTACACTTTTTTTAAATCAGGACATCAGTCGTGGTTTATGTGAATGTTGGGGGACTTCCTGTCGTGTACTCATTTGATTTATTATGGGTTTGGAATTTACCTCCAATAATTATCAACCCTCAGTTCCACAAGGAAAACCAAAAAAATACACTTTCAATATAAAAAGTGTACAATTTAAAGGCTGGAGGTGCACAGTGCAGAGATGTGAGGGAAGGCTATATGAACATCTCCAGTCAATTGTGACATGTCATGTAAAAGTCATGATAAGCTTTACTCTCCTTTACCTTCATTTATAATAATTATGTCATTTATATTTCTTTATTTTATCATCATCGTCTTTATTTGGCTAGAAACTTGCAGAGCTATAATTTATTTTTAAGATTTATTTTTGGGCATTTTGTGCCTTTATTGGAGAGATAGAACAGTGGATAAAATCAGAAATTGGGTAGAGATAGAGAGAGTGGGGAATGACATGCGGGAAAGAAGCCACAGGTTGGATTCAAACTTTGGCTGCCCGCTTGGAAGACTATAGCCTCCATACATGGGGCGCGCGCACTAACCACTGCACCACCAGCGCCCCTTGCAGAGCTATAATTTCAATTTTTGATATAAGGTAGATTATTAAATTAATCATAAAAAAAAGGTAACAAAAATGTATTGGAAACAAGTTCCAGTCCAATCAAGTCCAAGAAATAAATAGTTAAAAATCATTCAAATTCAGCAAGCTCAGATGAAAGTATCTTTATTCAAAGGACAAAGGTACTTCCACCTCTTGTTTTAAGACTTAGAATGATAGAGTGAAAACAGTTGGTTGGAATAAATAAATGATCCATGAAAGAAGACGTTAAAAACAGAGTAATTTAATTTTTTCTTAATGATGTCAGTTTATCAAAATGACAAAAAGGGGCCTTTTTTACTTTGTTTTTCTCAGTTTGGTTTGTTTGCTGAAACTCTGTGAAACTGTGTCAACATCATGAGACTCCTGAATATTCCCTCAAGATGCATAATCATGACTGAACTTTACTGCATCTTGTAAAAAACAACAACAAGAGTTTCGGGAACTAGTAATTTTTAACAGCTCACCACTTTCACTGTTACGTAATAGTCACCATTTCATGAGATGGCAGGAAGAAAGTAGTTTATATTATATTCTAAACATTAAACTTGGACATTGCTAATTCATAAGAAACATTGTAACTGCACCAAAGAATGTCACCTTTAAAAAGAACGAGCTAAATAAATAAAAGCAAGTAAAATGGGATATGAGCGTGTTGAGCAATAGCAAAAAACAATATTTGGTAAACACTAGTGGAGATCTTGTATATTGAGATTCTCTTAGCTTTCTCTGTATATAACATTGAATCAGTGCTCCTGGAAGCACCCACTCCTCACACGGGGGTGTGTCTTGGTGCAAGAGAGAAAAACCTCAAGCTGTCTCACCATACAGCTTACTCTCTGTCTGAGTCACATAAACCACAAGATCATCACTGAAACAGAGAAAGAGTGAGATGGAGTATGAGAGAGAGAGAGAGAGAGAGCGAGAGCGAGAGAGAGAGAGAGAGAGAGAGAGAGAGAATGGAAAGAAGCCACCCCAGACAAAGAAAGTGAAACTGAAAGCATAACATGGCAGTTATATAAAGTGTACATGAGCCTCACTGTAGCATCAAGGCATCTTGCTCAGAGTTCACTGCTGCTCCAAGGTAAGAGCCTCTTCAAAATGAGAGATGCTTTGACTTAAGCTGGGGGGTTTGAGTATTTGTCAGCACAGGAAGGAAACATTTCAACTCAATTATTAGTATTATTATAAAATAAAATATTATTCATATTTTAGTTTAGGATTTAGTTTACATTACTACCATGTGAGCGTATGGAAAAAGAACAGTGTACATGTATATTGTAGGAAACATTGACTTTTGGATTTCTGGGACAGAGTTATTGCACTCAACATGTTTGCAGCTGCAGTGTTTCTGTATGCTCTCTGACTGCTTGCATTCAAAATCAGAGAAGTTCCAGTCTTTTTTATGAAACAACAGAGCTCTCTTTTTCTTTCTTTCTTTTTTTAAATGTGAAGATATTTTAGGACTAACAAATGATGGACCTGTATGAAATAGCCAAAGGGAAAAGGAGGATTTGATCTTAAATCTACAGATTAATTATGAATGTGAACTTGAAAGAATCGATACTTTAACCACTATTCTAGATATATTGGTGCTGTTTTTTGGTCTGCTGCACAGACCAGCAGAGCTGTGGTGTCTAGGAAAATGTCATCTGTAATCGAGTGATGTGAATCAGGATATTGCAGAGATATTTTGGGTGCATGGCCAAAAGACAATACTGAGAGGATACTTCCTTCAACACTGAAACAAATAAGAGGAATCTAGCGACCTCTGTTTTCATGCATGTATGACTAGAAAAACTGCAGTGTTACTAAATTACATATAAAAAAAAAGAAGTGAAGAGAGCATGAATGGGGATGCAGCAGCTGTTGATTTGGGGATTTTCTTTCAGAAATATGAATGGACTTTCTATACAGTCAAGTTCTCAGAAAAGTGTGTGCTTAACGGGAAGACTGAAGACACTGTTTGATGTGATAATGTAGTTTTGTTTTTAGACGGAAGAGACGCATCACGATGTATAAACCTGGGTCTTGTCTCTGTTTCAGATGACTGTTTCTTGCCAGGCTCTCATCCTCCTGTTCTGTACTCTGATCCTCGTGGAGTCCTCTGCTCCATCTCCAGTCCGCCAGAGGAACAAATACAACAACTCCTTTCGCCTCACCAGGTCCACCCGAACCCGTGTCCAACAGCTGCAGAAGAAATATGTGAGTGTGGAAAAACAACTCCTTGCTCTCCATACTCACTATTAGATCATTTGCTTTGAAAGCTAGTTGCACATCCAGTATATGATGATCCTAACTACAGGTGTTTAATCATAACTGTGTTTACTTTGATAGAAGGAGGAGCAGTTGGGGAACACGCAGTTTGAGGACAGAAGCCGTCAGTTAAAGGACCTGCCAACACTTTCTACGGATTTCTACGCATGGCTGAATATGACTGTGAGTTCCTGTTTGAGTGTTTCAAAACACGGAAAATAAATCACTCTCTGCAAGAAACATTTCAAAATGTTGTGGAAACCTTTACTGTTATGTTGAGATTTCACGGGGAGGGGAATTCCCCGTATAAAGCTTATAAAAGTGTGAAATAATAATAATCATGTGTGTTCAGGACTGGGAACGACTTCATGCTGCTTTCTGTGACATGCAAGCCTACTGGAATAAGCTGGACAGGACGAGAAAACAAATAGAGGGGAAGCAGCAGCTGGCCGGACAGGCGTCCCGGATCACTTTACCTCGGAGAATCAGGCACATTCAGCTGGACCTGAGAGACTTGATGGGCCAAGTCAGCAGTCAGGTATCCACTCTGTTCTTACTGAAATCCACAAACATTTAGTCCCCCTCTCACCCACACAAAGACCTCTGAGGAAGTGACACCAATCATTAAAACAGTTTTGCTTTCTCCTTCAGATGAGGTACATGCAGAGCTCTTGGACGAAGCCTACCTCTCCAACGCAATTAGACCCAGAAACCAGCTCCAAAACAGAGTGGGACAGCCGAGTGGAAGGTTACATCATTCTGAGGGATCTAGACCTTTACCTCACCAAGCTGGCAAGAGACTTCCTCTTGTTGGCTTCAAACACACATGTGTGACTCAATACAGAAAAACTGTCACACAAAAAAGGTCACAAACAAAGGACAAAAAAGGCGAGTGCTGACTAGGAAAGAAAATAGAAACAACTGTGATCAATGAATCAGTCCTTTAAAGACGCTGTCAACACTTTGTGTGGAGTTATCGTTTAAAGCTTTTTTTTTTTTTTACAAGATGTTTTACTGTATGTTTAAGGGCTTTCTTGGGTATTTCCCAGAGTTTCTGTCTTGCCTCTAACTGTAAGTTAGCTCCCGGAGCCGAGAGAACACTTCCCAACATCTGGTTATTCCCCCACACCTTCCATTTACAGGACTTTCCCAAGATGTATTTCCTATTTATTAATATTTATTAACATGTATTAACTTGTATTTATTCCAAAGTGGTTTTTATTTTTATTTTTATTACAATACAGAGATAAAGTGGTTTACATGATAAGACTTTATATTTGATATATTTAAATATTTATATGACTGAAAATAAAGAGATGAAGCATTTGAAACAGTGGCGACTTTATGTTGTGTGTTTTTTTTAAGCATTAATTATTGCAGGCATTGCTGTAATAATGAGGATGTGTATGAATAATTAAGGATTCTTCCTCCTGTGTAGTTTGTTATGTATGTGTGCTCGTGGAATCGTCTTGTCCGCTGCAAAATAAGAAATGACTGCTCATCCTCCTTATTGCTAAAACGGTTACTTTTTGTCAGGTTGTAGTTTTCTGCTTCTTCATGTGGTGTTGATCTGAGGGGCAGTCTGTAGAGAGAAATCACATTGAACAAAGTCAGCTGCCTGAATGTTTTTAATTTAAAAAACCCCTCCACCCTTCAGGCTGCACATGACATCAGAGCAGGCACTGACTCACCACTAGCAGATGTCCTCGCTTGCCTTTGGTCACCTTTAGCTCTGATCCTCGAACAAAATCGATGATTCCCTCTTTGCCACGAGAAACAGCAAACCTAATACTGCAACATCACAAAGGATGGAACAACCACAGACAGAGCAGGGAGATGAGTGCTGCTCGTTCGGTATTTATAACACACACCACAGGAAAGCTTTAGCCTCACCTGCCCGGGCAGACATTGACGTAGTTGACCTTGCTGGCCATCATGGACAGTTTGGTCACCAGCTCGATCACATGGTTGCAGTGCAGCACCACATCGCCCTAGGGGAGAGACACAGCTGCTGTTAGAGTGGTTACATTGTTGTGAAGCAGTTTAAAGTCTTGATTGCTGCATCTTACTGCACCTTCTGCTTATTGTCCTCATTGGGCATGTGCAGAACAAACATCCCATCGCTGAGAGAGCTCACTGAGATTCCTGTGTGAAGACACAAACCGAGTTAAATTTAAATAAATGAATTTATCAGTTACATTTAAGCAGTGATCATTCAAAACACGTTGCAATGATTTTCTGTTTCTATATTGGTGGCACTATAGCAAAAGGAGGATGTTATCCAAAAGCCTCGTTTCCTAATTTGTTTTGAGGGTTCTTCTCAGATTAAAGTATATTTCTGAGAAGCAAGTTCATCTGACAAAGAACTGAAAAAACAAAGAAAGAATAAGATTGCCATGACTTATCCTCTAACAGTGCACCTTTATTGAAGAATTGTGAATTCTCTAAGTCAAAAATAAATCAAATGATTTAACAACTGTGCCAGTCGCTAGATTCCTTTCTTTGTAATACAATTGAAAAACAGCCCTGCATGATCTTGGATTCAAGGGCATTCCTAAATACCTGAACACAAAGCAGTACTAGACTTGTGCACTCAAGGCTGTTTGTTTTTAACCTCTTAGAGCTGCGTAGTCAATCCTCTGTTTGATCTTAGTCCTATCCACCAGCACAGCGAAGGTGTTGGTGAGGAGCAGCTGGCGATGGTGAGGCTTGAAGCCCCTTCTGTCATGCTTTATGACAGGAATACCGTACTGAGAAGAAAAGGATCAGAGAAATGTTACTGTGAAGAAACTGAGGTTTTAAGCACTTTTAATTTCTTAATTCAAAAAGAAGACAAATCTGTCCCACCAGCACTTTGTCATTGCCAAGGGTCTGGATGACTTTCAGATTGATTTGCTCACGTTCTGTTGGAGCAAAGGGACATTCTCTGTTAATGTTTGTTGTTCGGTAGAGCTTCTGTATGATGTTAGGTATATTCAGAGGTAATGGATGCATGTATCAGTAACTTACCTAGCCTGGTGTCCAAAAACAGCCTTCCAACACTTGCAGGGTAGCTGTCTTTCTGATCCTTGAAGATCTCACTTGCTACAACTTTCTGCATCATCTAGAGTAAAAACATATACCATGAAAGATCTTTTAGCTAATTAATTTATTCTTTAAAAGAAACTAGGGTCATGCATCCTGTAGATAGTGTACCTGTTTCTTCCATTCAGGCTGGACCCTTCTGCAGTACTTCATGACCATGTTTCTCATATGTAGCCTCTGCAGGTGCTCAGAGGCCTGTAAGGAAATGTGTAATCAACAATGCAGAATTAGCAATTGGATAACTCGTGTGTATGTCTGTATATCTGTTGGACTTGTGCTGGTCCTAATATAAAAATGACATTGTCATACTTGTAGTATTCACTTTTCTACCTGTATGTATTGTATCACTCAGGGTCTTTGTGTATGGGATTTATGTACCTCAGTGAGTAAGGGAGGGGGTGTTGGCCAGTCTTTGTCCAAAACACTCTCTGGAAGGTTTTTACGCAGGTTTTTGAGGAATGAGTAGCGCACATGGTCCAGGAAGTACTCGTTCTCAGAACAGTATTCCTCATGTCGATAGATGAAGCCTTTTATGAACCTGACAAAAAGACAGACGAAAGGAAGGCAATTCACAATATGTACAATTATGATAATAAAAAGACATGTAGAAACAAATGTTAATAGATTACAAGTGAAGCACCTGCGTATTAACTCAGCAGCCTGTCGGCGTCTCTTAGCCCTCCTGCGTGCTTTCATCCCTCGCCACGCAGACTGGATCACTATCACTATGCAGACACATACATGCACATATGTCAACACTGAGACAACTTTTTAACATCCCAGGTTAAGTATAGCACACTGAAACAGAGAGTCAGCTGAGGTCTGACACAACATCATGTCGAAGTGAAATCAAGTCATTCTACTCACATGCATTGACAATAATACTCATGAGCTTTAATGTTGAGCCCTTTTTATCAAAACTTGAATGATCATCCAAAGGCGTCATTTATGGCCATGTGCATGACAAGCAAATGCATCAAAGACGATAATATAAAACAATACAAACAAACTGTGAGCGGGTCAACAGTGGGAGGTGCTCTGACCTGCTTTCCTGATGCGCTGGTACTTGGCTCTCTCCCTGTAGCCTCTCCATGATGTCTGCAGAGTCAAAGCTGGGACACAACAAAGAAGGAGAGTTACGAAGGATTAATGCTCTGGTACTAATTTGTTTAATGTGTAATTTTCCCATTCCAAAGTTTGAACACACACTGTCATTTTTTTAATCAAAATGTGGGGTTTGGATTATAAATAAATGGGAGAGAAATGCGATTTAAGATAGTATGCAGGAGTCTTTTTTTAAGACCTTGCATGCACCCTCCCTCCCTCTTTAATGTACCTTTCTCATGAAATCGATGTACTAACTGCTCAACTGATCATGTGAAGATAATAAACACTGCTTCCTACCTATGTCTGGCTTCTTTGCTTCAAGTGCATCCTCAGTGGCGAAGAGAGTTTTTGGGAAGCGGATAAAGATTTTCGATCTGTAAAAACCAGTCAAAGATATTTGTGATCAGCATTGAAATACATTTATCAAAAATACCGTTACAAACTAATTTTGAGTATAAATATTTTATACACATGCGTTCAGTGACAGTCGCCACATTATCTGTTCTGCACAAAGAGCGACTCTAAAACCACCGTTACCAAACTCTCCTCTTACACTTTCCCATCCCCTCAAACAGCACATTACCTGCCCAGTTTGTACTCTTCTTCCTTGTAGCCCAGGTGGTTGACCAGTGTGGAGACACCATCAGCCAGTCTGCCGTGCCAATTAGGCCACGTCTCAGGACACAGGGGTTTATACCTAAAGCCATTTTTACACAATTATGATGTCAAAAAGCTAATCTAAGCACACAGAATGAACAGTGACTGGAGCTGCAGGTCAGTCCTACAGAAGGTAAGTCACCTCTGCAGGAAGGCCTCAAAGCGACGACGATAGGCAAAGCCGGCCCTCCTGACCCTCAGGTTTTCCATCAGGCCCAGGTACTTCACTTGGTGTCGAACCAGGACTTCATCGAACCTTTCTGCAGGAACAGATCATATTCATTAGTAATAATAATTTACTCTACGCCATTAGTACTAAATACTTATATATTTACTATGAAGACATATTTTCTTTTTATCAGTAACCATTGCAGAATAAGAATATATATTTATTTGCATTTATTACGTTCATTTGAGAAAATAGTTGTTGAGTTCAAATGTTTCAGGCGTTAAGGTATTGACGTTTACCTGGCTGCTTGGCATCATTAGGTTTGATACAGCGGACGTAGGACGGCTCTTTAGACATGAGGATCTCCTTGAGTTTCATCAGACTGTTTTTAAACTGAGTGGCAGCCTAGAGGACGTAAGGGGGAAAAAAAGATGGAATTCTGGGACATCCTGTGTAAATCTGTGTGTACACGTTGGATTTCCAAAGAAGGAGAATGAAAGCATTATCAAATTTAAATTTAATGAGCTAAATTATCAAATGGTGCGAGACTGTGTGTGTGTGTGTGTGTGTGTGTGTGTGTGTGTGTGTGTGTGTGTGTGTGTGTGTGTGTGTGTGTGTGTGTGTGTGTGTGTGTGTGTGTGTGTGTGTGTGTGTGTGTGTGTGTGTGTGAGAGAGGGTGCGAGGGAAGGGAGCCAGAGAGAAGACTGACCATCTCCGGGCGTTTCTGGTCAGTCCCTTCCTTTCTGCGGAAGCAGTGCCGTAGGATCTGGTTTTCTGACTGGCACATGACCTTAAAGAAACCAAAACCTCTTAACCACATGTCAACAAACACACACTCCCTAATCCTCTCCACAAGTCAAAACAAGAATCACAGAGGTTTTTAAGGGCAGTTATGAGGCTCTATTTTCACATTTTTAGCACTCTCACCTCTTTCACGTTCCTGTTCAGCCATTTATTGTTTTTTTCAATGAAGCCTGAGTCAGACAAATGAAAACAGTGCAGATTGTCATTTAGATATCAGTGTGGTGTGGGCCGCTCTCTGAAACACACAATCCTTTTCAAACAAATGAATGCATTCATAAAAGTCATCTAATTACTATCAGTGAATTATATGTTACCAGTGACGTTGTAGTTGACCTCTCCAGCGTAATGCAGCAGCCTGAACTCCTCCCTGCTCATTATCCTGCGAGTTTTTCCATTCGCCAACTTGTGACTGCAAAACACACATATTGAAATGGAATACATGCAGCTTAAAGAGCCTTGAGTACTGTAAGCTCAAATAATACACTTCAGATAAAGTGGTGTGTACGTGACAAAATGAGGATGGCCGCCCAGTGTGTCCTCCAGTTTCTCCAAAAACGAGACATCGCAGGTTTCTCCGGGTCTGAGACACTCCTCGTTCTAAAAGAACAGTCACACTTATTCAGTCTAACTACCACATGAAAAATTTAAGCAGAAACAGAGCAAGACACACAAAGACACACAAGACACACAATCTAGGAGTTGTCACGCGTACCAGAATAGAGATGATGCCTTTGTGCTTCTCCTCTATCAGGTCACAAATGATCTTGTTGTCAAAGTATTGCACGGTCTCCCACTGAAATCAGAGGGAAACATTTGGAGCAGGATAGTATGTTAGCACTGAAATATTTACATGATTAAAGAAAGAAAAAACGAGACTTACTGCAATTCCCTCTGTCTCGTACTCCTCCTGTTCAGATCTGAGGGTGAGCTCAATGAACAGCTGCTGGAGCTTCTCATTGCAGTAGTTGATGCAAAACTGCTCAAAACTTTAGGCACAAATACAAATTAAGGACATTAAGGTCAAACCGGGCTCGAGTTGTGTGTGAATGATTTGTGTACTGTATTGCAGACAATGATGAGGAGCAAATTAAGATGTCAAATGTAAAAAAAAAAAGGAACAATTGCACCAGCTTATACCTGTTGTGCTGTAGGACCTCAAAGCCATAGATGTCTAGAAGCCCAATGACTGAGGAGCCTTTACTGCTGTGGTACAATTCATCCTGCAAAAAAGATGACATGTAACAGGTATATATAGCAAGGGTTAAACACAGCAGCAATTGAAAAACATGACAGCGTTTTCACTGCTGTCTTTGGATAGTTATAGGAAGTGTCGCTGCACCTTTACAGTCAGCGACTGGTTGATCTTCTGCACCAACCAAGTGAAGGTCCGACCATACACGGACTTGGCCAAAGCATCCCGCGCAGACACTGCCTGCTCAAAATTCAGAGGGCTGATCATCTGTAGCGCAAAAACAAAATAAAGACACACAATCAATGAGTCACAAATGTCACAACAAACAACATGAGGAATGAGGACGCCAAGATTGTCACCTCCTCTCCCTTCGCAGTGAGTTTCTTGTGAGTGAGTGCCTCCCTCAGGGCTGAACCATCAACACCCAGCAGCTGCAAAACACAACAACACATCTGTGCTCAGATGCTTGGCTTTCTGCAAGTATTTGTGCATATCTGAATATTCAGAAATACTAGTGTGGGACTGTTCTGACCTTTGCAGTGAGGTTCAGCTGTGTCTCAGAGGTGATGTAAGTTTCTCCTTCTTCCCCTTCCCCAAACTGAGTGTTTCCCAGGTGGAGAACACTGGCGATGATATTCAGCACTCTCTGAGGACCGACACAGGAAACATAGTTTAAAAAAACAACCCCATTTAGGAACACTCTGTTTTTCAACTAAATGGTTGAATTTGGAAAGTTACAGAAATGAGAGCACACTCAGGGGTAAAGTACATTTTTTTCAGTGAAAAGGTTGCAAAATGCTCCTTACATCTTCATGGTTATAACATAGCAGGTATATGTAAACAATGCAACGTTCAAAAGTTAAGAGTGTGTATACATATTAACGACGTGAACCAAAAGTATGCTGCAAAATCCATTTCAATGAAGTATATTTGTTAAACCACAGAACATGATTGAAAAACACAACAGCACTCATTCTGCCCACCTGCACTTCCTCCTCAGTGAAGCCAATCACAGACAAAGCCTTCATTACAACCTTCCAATTGTTCTTGTCACTGACAGAGCTGAGTCTGGGACAGTTGCCCTAAAAAAAAAATCAGTTCAAAATTAAATGAACTCATGTTATAAATAGTTTAAAATCAAGTCATTCATCACACTTCTTCCCCACACTCACTTTGACCAGGTAGTTGTAGTTCTGTGGGTTTCTTTGCAGGTCCAGTGCTTTCAGCAGGTCGTCGTCACCTCCATCCAGAAGCTGATAGAAGACGTGGAAGTTTCTTTCACCTTGGTTCTGGTGCACGACTCGAGTTTTCTCCAGCAGGAAGTTCTGGATGTGGCCACCCACTGGTGCTCCCTAGAAAGAGTTACAGAAAAAGATAGGGGCGGGCAGCAACTGTAAATGGAAGGTTTGGAACTCAGGTTTGATTTCTATGAAGAGTGAGAAAGGCAGGAGGGAGAGTTTACCCTGAAGTCAAACTGGACATCCATGTATTTTCCAAAGCGGCTGGAGTTGTCATTCTTTAGTGTTTTTGCATTACCAAATGCCTACACATATCAAGAGAGACAGGACATTACATAGAGGAGTAGAACATCAAAACCAAATAATCACCATGATAACACAGATATTTATATTTTCTATTTCTATTAGAATTTCTATTTTTTATATTGTGGCAGTGGCTGTTCAGTCTGAAATTCAAATGGATAAATACCTCCAGAACAGGGTTAGATTGTAGTAAGCATTCACCAAGGGTAGCCATGTGGTCATTAGTGGGGCAGGTGACAGCGTAGTAGAGGAGGATCTTCTTGGAGGCCTCTGTTTTACCAGCTCCACTCTCACCTGAGATGAGAATACACTGGTCCTTCCTCTCTGTGCGCATGGCTCGGTAAGTGTTGTCTGAAAGTGCGTAGCTGAGGGACAACACAAAGCAACATACGCTTCAAATTGGCGTCCGAATCGGGTCACTTTATGCACCTACGGTAAGTAAAATGTAATAAATAGTCATTAGCATTACAAAACTAAAATTCACAACAAATATAAAAAAGCCCATTAAGTTTGAACTTTTTTAAGAATATAAATAGTTGATTTTAATAACACTTTATATTTTATACAAAGACAAATCAATACAGATGACACAGTTTTTATGATTCAAGAGTTCCATGCTGGTTACTTTAAGGTCTAAATCTAAAACATTTAAAGCTACAGTAGGCAAGAATATTTCATTCAAATTTTAGTTGAAATTAGGTAGGTGCACACATAGGCTTTGAAGTGGTTTCAGCATCTGACCTTTCTACCCTCTGTAGAGAAATTAATCTTTAAAAAATCATATATATATATATATATAAATGATTTCCTCTGCGTACAGCCTGGCCCACTAAACAGACATATTAGGTTAAAAAGGAATATTGGGTGGGGTGATATGTGATCCATGCCCTTTCTTCCATTTTCTATCCTGCTGCAACTGTGATTACACATGCTCATTGGCAAATACTGGCATGCATTCAGCACTCAGAGTTACAGCAGGAGTAGGAGTGGTGTTAGAGGTCTCATGTCCCCAAGTCCCTTCTGCTTCTTCATAGGACCTTGAAGTAACTACTCCAAAAGTGTTGTCTACTAAAGCTATGTATGTTTCTCTTCATTCTGTTTTCAGGCGCTGTGGTCATAAACTGTATCTGAAAATGTTCCTCATTGTTAGAAAAAGAAATATTGATATTATAATACGCTTATGGTCAAATAAATGCATTTAACTTGTATCCAGTCATTAAATATTTAATGATAGCATGTGTGCATCATAGGTGAGGTATGTAATGTTTGGTGTGTCATCCGGTGGGCAGGGCTTAGGGTAGTAATATGAGGTCCCAGAAGGAGAGGCAGAACATTTATGTTGATTACAGTCTTTTTATATGAAATGCACTCCCCATATCCAATGGTAGAAAACATGTGTTGAAGTTTCAGTTCAAAAGCATTTAATACAAATATACCCAGCTTATTAATAGATGCCTCAAAGAATGCAATTTAATCACAGATAATCAGTTTAGTTATTTATATTTCTCAACATGTCAGGTGTTTATTATCTGGACAGTTGAGAAGAGAGAAATGGAAAGAAGTTTCCAAAAAAAAAAAAAGTACGAGACTCTTGAAGTGTGACTTACATGTGCGGTGATATCTCATAGAAGCTGACCCCTCTATAGCGCTCCATCTGCGTCTTGGAGTAAATCTCCAGGTCTTTGTAAGGGTTCACTGACACCAACACCGAGCCAATGTACGTCTGAGCCAAAACATTAGAACACATTGAAGTATGTTTCACCACAACAGATGAAATGTTTTGGAACATGTCAAGAAAAATTGGCTTTTTTTTTTTTTACATAGATGAGGTTTTCCCCGAAGCGTCTCCGTAAGTTCTCTATGAATGTCGCCTCACTGTTGTAGTTTTCAAGCAAGACAAAGTCCTGCACCCCCACCCTGTCCCGGGCAGTCAGGGCGCTCTCCATGCCCAGGCGCACTCTTCCTTCTATATCTACCTGCTACAGGGAGACAGAGAAAAGAGAAATGTTAGAGAGAAGGACAGAATCATGCCACCTGTCACAGCTCAGCAGTGCTGCAGGGAGAAGAGAGTTTCTGCTCTTACTGATACTAAACTGAATGTTGGTGTTATTATAATCTTGTCAAGCAGGGGGCACAAGAGGCCTGTTCCCATTTCATCGGCTACACGATACACTCCCATTCTTATGAAAGAATTAACATCTGGTGCTCAGTTGTAGAATAAATGCCACTTATTTCTACAACACAGAATCCAAATATGAAGAGAGACAATTTGTAGTTCAGGTATATTTTTTTAAATATCAGGGCAATAGCCTCAAGAATTACTGATCACATCACTGTAAACATCACTGTAAACACACAGGCTGAACCAAGATTCAACAATGAAGACATTTAAGGAATCTTTATCATAAACAGACAGAATAGACTCCTTTTTTTTTTTGTCATACTGAGATAAAGTATTCTGATGTATACAGTACACACAGCTCTATATCGCCAGACTGGATTAACCAACGTGAATAGTAAAGTGTGTGTACATATAAACCCCAGTGCAGACAGGAAATAATTCACAGTCTGCTGAGTGAAAAACTGCCCTGACGTAAGACAGCACACACACACACAACTTGAATTATAGGCATGTGCACATGTTTGCAAAGAGATGTGAAAATGTCAGAGGTCAGTACTATCTGATGACAAATATAAAACCCCAAACTTTAAGAGTGTGATCAATGCACTGCAAACCTACCAAACCAGATGCTCGCAATCTTCAGTATCAAAGATTCATTTATGAGCGAGCCCTGCTGTTTTTTTGTTTGTTTTTTTTCTTTCATAAAACACAAGCAGAAAGTGGAACAAAGGGGATAAACTTCCACAAGACTTCTGTTGTTCTTCATTGCAAGCCTCTCAAGGGGCTCATTTGGCAGTTCAGTGCCGGTAAAAGGTCATTATCTCTGTGCACTGGATGCAGGAAAATGCTTAAAAACACAAAAGGACAACAGTGGACGAAAGCCAAGACGCTCAAACTAAGGAAAGTCGCTGGATGCTTCCACTGCAGCCCCTCCTCTCTGCTTCACCTTGGAGTATTGTTGTTCCATTACAGCAGGTGGGCTTCCCTTAGATAGTAATTACAGTTCTGTCAGATTTTCCAAAGGATACAGCTAAGGAATGTTCGGGTCAGGTCCAGGGCAGGATATCAGTGGATGTCACTAAATGTTTCTATGATGTGTCTACAGCTGTGCATGTTTGATACAAAACACTGAGAATTAATGTTTTTGTTTGACAGTCATCAAGACATTTGCACTTCAAATCACAACCCCTCTGAGGTTAAACTGCAGAAATTAGCAGTGCAGAGCGAAAGCTACACAATTGAGTTAGCCCGGGGCAGTTTGTGTGGTTAATAAAGCCAGGTGATTTCTGCCCAAAGGAGCAATATGTAAGATATCTACTGAATTAAATGATACAATGACCTTACTATAAGATCAGACATTAAAGGAGACATGCTATGTTAACGTGCTGGCTTCTCTGACAACGATGCAGCAGCCAGTATCTCCTCCTAAGTTTCGATTCCGGTCTGATATGGTCTGTATTTGAGGAGTAGGTGGTTTTAAGGCACCCCCACACGGCTGATTTGGACATCCCTTGATTTGCCAGATAGGAGGCCAGTTATCACAGCAAACCAACAGGTGTTGCAGCGATGGAAGCGGGCACCTGACCTAAAAAAAAAAGCCTAAAAATACTTGAGAGAGGTTAGAACGCAGAAGTTTTTCAAGACAGATGCAGAGCTGATTAAATACTAAAGCTTCCATGTCCGTAACATGGCAACCCTCTAGAGGGGAGGGCGCGGGGTTAGCTCTCTCCAATGTTTTGAATTTGGACTCTGCACCAATTGTAAATGCCATATTGCTCTTTTGATCTATTAACCTGAAAAATATAAGATATTAAGAAGACAGCGCAGTATGTTCAGCATACCATAAACCTTTCATGGTGCCTGACACTGACCGGCACACCGGGATCTGACTCTTTTGGCGTGAACTTTTCATTCCAGATCTCAGACCTTTTATGTTCATTTGTAATAATGTAAAATGTACAATAATTGTCTATTGTTCTGACAATACCAATGCAATGTCTAACAACATGCAATTTAGTGTACTCACTTTCTTGTGCTCACTTGATTTGTCATCCTAAAAGGGTCAGTGCCTGTGTGCACTGATACATCAGATTCACCAAGCAACAAAAAAAACAAACTTAAAAACACAGCACACACTGTTCTCAGTTTCCTCAGCAGTCATGAGTTCATTTTTTTTACTGTTCAACTAGGAATGTGATCATCTTAATATGCAGAAAAAGCCTTCACAAAACACTTCCTTGCTTCAAAAATTAGAAACAGTTCCACGTCTGTGTTAGAGGAAATCTTGAAGGATTTGAATCATCCTTTCGGAAACTCTGTGGCTGAGATAGCTTCAGGGCTTTATGTTTATGATAGAGATATTACCACAATACAGTGTAATCCTTGCAGCTTTGTTGTCACTGAAATGACCTGAGGCCTGGTTCTTTAGAGCAGTGAGAGTCAGATCTATTAGACAGGCTCAAACAAGTGTGAGAGTGCTTTATTTAGGATTTGACTTGAGTCTTTGATTAAGTATCAGGGAGCGTCAGTGATATCTGCAGGTTTGAAATATGTTGCAGCAGTGACATCCAGACGGGACTCTAACCACAGAGTGGGACTTGGCTCCAGGCCCCATGACTAAGCTCTGCTGGGCCGACTACATTGGGATTGTCTTCCTTATAAGGCATGCCCCACCACTCTGTCCCAGGGCTGGCTTCTCCTGTACCACAGCTGGCTCTCTACCACGGATGTGCTGGTAATGGATATGGTGGAAAAACACCACGTTTTGGACTGATAGGTGGAAGCTTACACAAAACCCAAAATGCACACTGACTCACACAAAGTGGCATTGTTCTGTTTTGCTTTCCTCTCTGAGTTGAAAGAAAAGATAAAGCACACATATGGAAAGAATCCATGGCGTGTGCAGCACTAAACAAGAAGACACAACAACGAGCACCATGGTGATCAGTATCTTACCCTGCTTTGGTACCTCATCCTGTTCTCTTGCTGCTGGACGACTGCTGAACGGGTGGTCCCCACCCAGGCTGGTGCTCCTCTTCCGTGTCTAGCAGACTTTTCGACTGCAATTTCTCATCCAACTTTGCTTTTGGCCAGCAGAATAAGTTAACTTATCCTCTTCTCCTTCCTCACTTCAGTCACTTTCTCACTCTTTCTCAGCTTCCAGGTCCTTCCTCTTCTCGTCTGGCTCCCCTGTGAGGACAAAGCATAAAGCACTCAGGCCAGCACACCAACAGTCCCTCTTGTTTACACCTTCAATTCATCCTCCCTTTGACCGCTCAAGTAAATGTACGCCTCTCAGTGAGTACCTCTCCTTCCCTCTTCACTGTACAGCACACAACAAGGGCAGGAACTTCACTCACACGTCACACAAGTGGACAGAAAAGAAAAAAAAAAAAAGTAGAGGCAAAGTCAGCCGCAAAAAAGGAGAAGGAGAAACAGAGAGCTGAGAGGTCTTGGAAAATGTTGCTAAGGGCTCCAGTCTACAAACATGTAATCAGTGTGCAGCGATAAAAAACAGCAAAAAAAAAACAGAAATCACATGATGAGATCTCAGTGCATTCTTTCATTGCTTCCCTCCCTGTTTAGTTTGCTCCCTCCCTTTTCTACCGCAAGCTGAGACAGATTCACATGGGATGTGAGTTATGGGAGTTTTCAACAGCAGGACTGCCTGTCTCCTTGTGGCTCACTTCTACTGTAGATGAAATAAATAACAGGTAAAATCATCAGAATATCACTCTGCACATATTTTAACACGATAGTGGATTAACGGTGTATGTGCTGTGAACATGAACCATAACATTCCTCATGTCTTACCTCCCCTCTTGTTTTGGGATTTTTTTGGGAGTGCTGTCAAGGCCACATTGCCTGGGAGAACAGCGCCCTCCTCTGGTTTCCTTGCCTATCCATTTCCCTCTCACCCAATTTTCCCTCTCTGAGTCCCCGCCTCACCCTCTTTCCATTTCCAGCATCATCAAATATCTTACACTGAGGAATCTGAATAATGTTACCCAGATGGGGAACACCTCCAGCTCTTTTTCTCGACCTCTGAAGGTCTTGATAGGTCTCTGAACGAGGAGAAAAAGTCTACATGCTGCTTCTCTTCCACCACCAGGGAATACAATTGGCATACTAGATATTACACATTTATTTAAATGAAAAACACTCTTGTAGTAATTGGTTTCATGCCAACCCTCTTCTTCTTTTCTTTTTTTTTTACTATATCTGGTAAGCAGTCCTGCCATGTTTGACCTAAGTTCCCTTTTTTAAACTCTTTCTTTTACAATGTTTTTCCACAAATGAAACTTCCTCAACTCTTTAATTAATCCCCCTCAATTGTATGTGCTCACTGCCGGTCAATATTGTATACAGCACAAAAATCAAAGAAACAAGTACAATCAGATGAAAGTTGATGATTTAGTTGGCAGAGAAAATGTGACCACAGAAGAATGGAAGGTATTGTGGTGTTTCCCTATCAAAGCCAAAAGAGAGCACAGAGGAAATCATCTGGACAAAGGGTTCGGTTGTTTATATAATTCAGTGTGCTCTGTATGTTTGGTTTCAAATCACTCTAAGGTATCACACTGAGTGCTTGTTGAACAATTGTGCCATTTGTTGGGACTCATATTTTTTAAGTTAATCAACAGTTTGATGAGAAAACCAAAAAGTGCTTTATGGAGTTCATGGTCAAAGGAGCAACATGAGACCAGCAGCTACTACTGCCTAAAACTATATAGCTTCTGGTATTTCATGGACACAATGCTCATCCACTGTTCTAAGATGATTGTCATTGGATGGTTTATTCAGAGGACAGCAACAACCTAAAATTAAACTACAATACCAAAAACATCCATTTGAAGCACAATGCATATTGATACCTCTGTTTGGTGTTCATGAAACCTCAGCTTCCTTCAAGCCGCAATGTTCAGGGCTGAAAAAAAGGAACTCTCAAGGCCCTAGGCAAACGATAGACAGGTAGACTGCTGGCAGTGTTTTTGACTTACTTTTGAGGGCAATCCAAGGCATAGCATGTGTAAGCACATGTGGAAAACATGAGGGTTCTCTCCCAACACCACATCTGGTTTCTTTACTCTGCACACTGTACACATTTCACTATCCGGTACACAACCCCCTCTACAAGTGAAATCATGAAGACAATGAAGTCAATCAGACACAAACTACAGTTTTACTGGAGAGTGCATACTCATCACCTCAGCGATAGCTAGTGATGTATTCTCTTGTTCTATTTTACCGTTGAGATTTTTCCAATAAGTGTTCCTATCTTTGTTTAGCAGTTCCTGTAAGAAGGATTTCCTTCCTCGCTGTTTCCTGATGTTCAGCGTCTTCCTTTATGACCATTTCTTTGAGCTCAGGTCTAATGTGATTATACCTTTCTGAGTTATATGTTTTGAGTGAGATTTTATTATGAACAATTTTTCAGACTGAACTGATTGAAACCATCATCCTCTCAGGAGTAAACTCACTACTTCAACTGGCACTCAATCTACATCCAGACTGTAAAATCATCTTTTTCAGCAGACACAGCCCCAGGCCTGACTTTAATTTCAGAAAATTCCATTAGAAATTCAAAACCTGATATTGAACATCTGACATATTATGTAAACAATCCAAAGAATCCTCACATGAAACTTGCTGTCATGGATTGTGTGAATGGAAAGTGATTGAGTCAAACCATTTCATCTCATACTATTCTTGAATTGCTATGGTTTTAATACAACAATGAATCACAGAGGGTTGATGACTAATTTTGGGCAGGGTGGGGTGGAAAATGTTTTGGTACTCTGCTCACTTTCTTACAATTCTCTGTCTCTCTGTCTCTCTGTCTCTCTGTCTCTGTCTCTGTCTCTCACCCAAAAACACACACACCACAGATAACCTTGGCAGGAAAAAAAAGATTGGGGGTATTACAGTAGAAGAATAAACACTAAAGCTCATCTCATAATGCTAACCTTTACAGTAACTATTAGACTTATGCTCTTTCTCTCTCCTTTTCTTGCAGTATTGTACTATCATAAAGTGAACTGAAAAAATGTACGAATGCATTTCATTCTTGTTGGGATTCCCTAATTTAGCTGTCTTAACTATTCATTATATCCTCGATAGAGACACCATTTTGTACCTATTGTCCATCTGTGCAGAGCTCTCTCAGCACCCATCTGTTGCCCCTTTCACCCCAATCTCACCTCTGCCGCCTCTCATCCCCAGATTCTTGTTACACCACTAGGGCTACTTTAGAAATTGATAAAGGTGTAAAACAAAACCCAATGAATCAGCAAGCCGTCGAAAGTAAATTTAAAACGTGACAGTAATCTACAAACGAGAACACCAAATGAAACATCTATTTTGGAATGGGGATAAAATTATTTTGTTTTCTCTTGATAATAGTTAACACAGTCAACTTGAGGTTGAAGAGGAGGTTTCAGGCCTATAGTATAACTTCCCATCCATTTTCATGGAGTCAATATGAAGAGTGAGCTTACTAGATCCAATTCTCTTTAGGTTGTGAATTACAGGAAGACTTAGAGCTCAGCCTAGTGGTGATCATATCAACTGCACTGCACTGGCTCCTATGCTCCTTTTTTTGGATGGGTTGCATTTAACTTTCCATAAGAGTAATCCTCATCAATTTGAATGCATGACTGATCATCTTGTACAAAATCGGCTCTGTTTGTAACAAAATAGTTCTAAAGATATATTATCAAGCTCTGCTGTATGCAGGAATGTCACACTATAGTGTATTTTTACTCCATTTAATTTAGGCAAGGCTCAATAAAAACGTTCCAATACCATCCAGCACAAAAGCTCATTCTGAAATACACTTCAAGCATTACAAAGAAAAGTGAAAGCATCTCACACATGACAAAAAGACATGCATGAATACACACATACAGTAATGAGAATCTTCCAAAGATAATGAATATATTATTAAATAATTAACAAATACATGAATTCGTAGATACACACAGTATACTGTATATGAAATGGACCTACCTGGTCAATAATCAGACTGCACAAACAGATTCACTGAAGTTGAACGATGAAGACTTTCCACCATATCCTTATCCAGTACAAGTCTGGCGGTGCCCACAATTTTGAGTTTCTTGTAGAGCTGAAGGTGAAGCTCGTAGACTGATCAATCCATCAGCAGCATAGACTCAATCAACTCCCACAGGGAATGGCTAAAACCAGATTGAAATAATTACAGCACAGCAAAAGTACTTTGCAGATAAAGTTTGGAATTTTTATAGAAAGTAAGACTGTGACCGTAATAAGCCTTCTTGCAAAGGTGATAGAGAATTTCAAGGAGTTTATAGCCAATAAATCCGCTAGGAGGCGGCAGCTCTAAAGTTAATGGTCTGCGCAAAGTAATCAGATATGATGCAGGTGACAGATGCCAGCCTCTTTTAAAGGTGGAAGAGCTGACTGGTAGTGGACTGTACTGTGAACTTGTGCAGTCAAATAAATGAGTTGCTCGGAATAGAGATTGTTTTGAGTACAATTTGATTATGGGCATGTCATGGTCCCTGTGCATGCTGCAGTTTTATTAGCCTTTGTAATTGTGTTTACATATAGTGAGTTTACAAGGACTCTATCAGTGGTGGAATGTAAGAGAGTCACCTAAAAATTGTCTGTATGTGATTTAGAGTACTTGAAATTGACTTGAGTGATATATTTTACTACTTTATTGAACTGAATTTGTGAAGACATTAACAAAAAGGCACTTTTAAAGGTTCAGCAAAAGTTGTAAACCGTTTTGCCTTAAAATACACATCATTTTTTAATCTCTGTCCCATCTAAGAGGGGGGCCTTTTAGGGGAAGTCTAAAGGATAAAGCAGATTTGCGCATCCGAACTGTTTGATCTATTCCTGTCCAATTAATCCGCTCAGAACCCCTCAGATTCATCTTGCGGTCATTCCAAGGGTCCTGGCCCCCTTATTGTGAAAAACTGAACTACCTAACTGCTGCAATAGTAGCTTTACTTTAGCGACCCTTATAGAATTGCAAAATAATGCATCAGTATTAACAAGTTAATAATGTGTCACATGTCTCATCAGTGTTGGTTTTCTGCAAAGTGGGTACTTTTTCTATAAATAGACTACTTTCAAAAAATGAAGGTGATAATACCAATTTCATATAGCCTAATGGTGTTCATTATATCGGTAGACTATTGAATAGTATGTTTCTGCTGGTGATACAACTTGCCTATTCTTGAGTAAAAATATGTTGTAGGCATTTTGATAATTCAAATGAACTCCAAAAGCTTGCTTCAGGTTACTTCCTGGGCCTGGAAGCCTACAAAGTAAGCCTATATGGTTAAATAGTTCATCTCAGACACAGAAATGGGAGTTTGTGACCATGGAAAACTAATTCTTAAATGTAGCAGTGATTTTGAAAAAAACAAACAAACATAAATACAAGCATATTGGGTCACAGTAGCCTACTAAAAAAGTTTGTTCTCTATTTCCCTCTCTCTTTCAGACAGTCAAAATCAAGAGGACATGATGTTACAATTGGCAACTAGCCTAGCAGATGATGTTAGTGAATTAAAAGATATTGCTAACACTGGAAAGTTGCAAACATTTCTTGCCTGTTTAAAAGTTACAGGACAATGTCTTTTCCAAAAGAAAGCTAACTTAATCAAGTAGCCCTCTGCAAAAACATCTAGAAGCCTATGTGTAAAATAGCCTGTCAGGTAAGGATAATTGCAACCTACATGAATATATTCACCTTTAATACGTTTTACTCAAATACTGAGGACGTTTCAAATATGATGAAAGTTTGTGTAATAATTTAGTAAATAATTAAAAGTTAGCCTACAAGAAGAGCTGATGACAAATTGACATTTTGTTAGCTATTATTGTTTTTAAATGCACACTTTACTGAAGGCAACAAGAGGGGATGCAACCGCATTTTAAAACAGTGAGGCTAAAAAAAAACCCGAAATATAAGCAACGTATTACTGGTCAAGCACAATTATCTCATGAATTAGGATGTTTAAACTCCGTGTCTTTGGTCATGTGTTATTTTATGACTTGTGAAACACATTACTTAAGAGATACGACTCCAGCACTGCTGAGCTGAGCTTGAGAGCAGAGCTTGCTGCAGTTGTGTGAGGGCGCCGCTGGGTGAGTCCCTCTCTCCGCTGCCTCTGTCTCCACAGCTCCTTTTTCCCAAAGAAAAGAAGACGAGAACTAGGTCCGGGGAGGAGGGCCGCCGCCATTATCGGAAAGCTGGCAGAAATACCACTTTCACACACGCAATCTGCTCATAAATTCACCGGGACGTGAACAATTTCTGTTGCGGTAAGGAGCACGATTTGAGACGAGACGCCACGGCGATTGCAACAAACTCAACGTTGTCTCGTGTGCGCCACCGGCCCAGCGTTAATGTGGGCACAACAATGGACAGAATAATTATTGAAAAGGCAACGTGGTGAACCGAGGAAGAAGACGGCTATGCAGATTTAATACGCCTGAAAATCCTAATGAGGAGAGACCCTTGCAAGAACAAAATTGGATTGTTCTTTCATCTGGGATATTTATTTCGTCATTCCCCGTGTTTAAATGCGAAGAAAACAGCGGCGCTTGAGCAAGTAGATTCAAGGCACGGACAATGGACATTTAAATGAAATTACCTCATTGCACACGTTGTTTTTATTATCAGTATTATCTGAAGTGAGACGATCCATAGTGTGTTCTGCGGCTTTATGCAACTGCACATCAGGCGGCGAGGGCTGCGGCAAGAGCTGGCCTGACAGATGCGAGAGGAGAAAGGGAGAAATGCGATGGTATGTACCCTGCATGCTCTGTCCTCGTCTTTATGGGCCATTACCTAGTGAAGCTGTCGAGTGCTGCACCCTGGACAGCTGAGTAAATAAATTCTGTTTAAACGTAGTCGGCGTGGAAGGCGGTGGGCTATACTAGATTTCGGCTCTGCAATTTCATTATGTAGACAGCAAGGCCTGGCGTGGTCAGCCCCTCTCTGTGTGCACCCTAAAGCCCATGGTAACTGTTAATCCTTTGCTAAACATATAAGGTTGCAGAATCTTATCTAGGTAAGTGGGTTATGTGAGTGAGACAGCTTATGGTACACTTTGGTAAACTGTGTTCTGGAAATGCTAGAGGGGGCAGTTTGGTTGTTTTTTTATTTGCGGTGAACTTGTCTGTTCATTTGACTATCAGGCCTTGCTCAGCTGAGCGGTGTCGACTGCCCATGGTATGCTTTTTGACCCTGCTGGAAGCTGTGTGTTTCTCATGTGTGGACGCTTCATACGACACGTTATTATTGTTTCACAATGACTATAATTTCCCCCTTTGTCATGTTTCACTTCAGTCATATTTTGCACATTTTAGATTTTGCATTTGATAATTGTTAACCCTTGAATTATGCAGCTGTATATCAGAATTGCACCATTGGCATTGTGTGGTCACATTAGACAATGCTGTAAGAAAGGGATGATAACTTCGGATGTCTTTACGGGGTGACCAAGTTCTGTGTCCCCTGCCAAACCCTGTGCAAGTGTGTGGCTCTTTTGAATAAGTCCTCCATCCAATCACTATTTTGTTTGGTGATCAGTTCATAAAAACTGAGGGGCCAACAAAAAAGTAATTTGCATGCTTGTCGCCTAAATCATTGATCAGCCGACTTTGTCGTTTTAAATGCACCACTCCCAAATGTTCTTTCATCATCAATGTAGTCCATGTCTGATATTATGAAGATGGATCTTAAGATGATCAGACTAGAGCTGATGTGTTGATTAGCGGATAAGTTGATGGGAACTGTAACCCTTTTGATATGAAAATACGATTTTAAAAGTTTTTTTTTTTTTATGATGATGCCAGAAAATAGTTCAGCCTGTCACATCTTTATCTCTGCCATTTGTCATAGTTTTCAATAATACTGAAGATATTACCTTTGGATTTGCACTGTTGGTCAGCAAGAATATTTAACTATGCCACATTTTTTTTTGGCATTTTATGGAATTAATTATGTGAGATAATGATTTGCTGATAAATTACACACATTTGCATCGTAATGGATAATAATTCTTCCACCGTTGTGAGAAAATGTTAACTTTACTTTCAACATTTTGTACATCCAATTTTGTCAGGAGATTGTGACTTGTTGACATAACTGAAGCTATAACACTAAATTCATTAATCTTTTGGTGGCAGCTAGATATGGTGTCAAATACTTGTTTGGAAACAGCTTGGTTTGTACAATAGTAATATGAATGCTCTTATTACATTTTATGCTGACCAAAGTGAAACTACATCAGATGAACTTATTTGGTATACAAAATAAAGTGCCATGAAATGGAATAAAATTAGCCTATTGTCATTATCCTAGGCTTTAATTATGCCAGATAACTGAATTATCAAAGGATAAAGATAGAAAAAGGTCAAATGTAAGTTGACAGACATTTCTAAAGGCTATTTTGAATATTTTGTAGGCAAAACTATTGTCAGTAAGTCAGTTTCCATATTTAGTAGAAGTTTTTAACCATGATTTTTTAAATTGTATATCAGTATTTTCTTTGTCTGATATTTGCACAGTTTTTTTATTTTGTTTGTCTTTTGCCTTTTAATGATACATTTTTATATGTTGATTTTCCAGATTGTCTGATTACTTTGTTTTTTGTATTTTTGTGTTTTCTTACAGGATCTGATTCGTACAAGGAATACATGAAGGACTCTACTCGTATAACTGGACTGCTATTTATTAAATTGAAGGCCAGCAGAAGAAAGTGAAATCTGATCTCCTGTGGATCAGCAGCTTTATGGACAAACATTCAAGTGAACTCCTTTACACAGTGCCTGTTTATGGCAGGATGAGCTTCAGCAGGCTATGATGGCGAAAAAGCAAGATGCCCGATCGCCCATTTACAACCTCATTGTGGTGGGTTTGTCAGGAACTGAAAAAGAAAAGGGGCAATGTGGGGTTGGAAAGTCCTGCTTGTGTAATAGGTATGTGCGGCCCAGTGCTGATGACTTCTATCTCGACCACACATCAGTGTTGAGCACCAGTGACTTTGGGGGTCGAGTGGTTAATAATGATCACTTTCTGTTTTGGGGAGAGGTGTCACGGGTTCTGGAGGAGGGGCCTGAGTGCAGGATGCATGTTGTGGAGCAAACTGAATTCATTGATGACCAGACATTTCAGCCACACCGTAGTACTGCTATGCAGCCCTATATCAAACGGGCTGCTGGAACCAAGCTGGCCTCAGCAGAGAAGCTCATGTACTTCTGTACAGATCAGCTGGGCCTGGAGCAAGACTTCGAGCAGAAACAAATGCCTGAGGGCAAGCTGCAGGTCGATGGCTTCCTGCTTTGTGTTGATGTCAGCCGGGGCATGAACCGAAATTTTGACGACCAGCTGAAATTTGTCACAAACCTGTACGGTCAGCTCAGCAAGACTAAGAAGCCCATTGTTCTGGTCCTCACCAAATGTGACGAAGGAGTTGAACGCTACATCAAAGATGCACATACATTTGCTATCACAAAAAAGAGTCTGCCAGTAGTTGAGACATCTGCACGTTCAAATATAAACGTTGACCTTGCTTTCCTCACTTTGGTTCAGCTTATTGATAAGAGCAGGGGGAAGCCCAAGATCATTCCTTATTTTGAAGCCCTGAAACTACAAAGTCAGCAGATAGCTTCAGCCAAGGATCGCTATGAATGGCTAATTAACCGTATAGTAAAGAACCACAACGAAACCTGGATAAACACTAGTCGACGCATGAACACCTCACCAGAGTACAAAGAATATGTTTTCTTGGAGGGAACAGCAAAATGCAAGAAGCTTTTTCAACAGCATGTCTATCGTCTGAAGCAGGAACATATTGAGAGGCGTCGCAAAATATACCTAAGCACTCTTCCCTTAGCACTTAGTTCTCTGGTGCCTGACCTGGATGAGATAGATCAGCTGAGCTGGTCTGGAGTGCAGAAGGTCCTGGAGTCCAAGCAGCACTTTGCCCACTGGTTTGTTGTTCTGGAAGACTCGCCATGGGAGGATACATCTCACATTGATAACATGGAAGATGAGAGAATCCCTTCAGACCTACTGGAGACTGGTGAAGCAGAGGATATATTCAATGCACACCTGGAACATCTGCGTAATGAGTGCAGACGTGCAGAGATGAGGCTGGAGTTTAAACAGAAGTTGGCTTCCTCTCCCTTTGTCACCCCTGGTAAACCATGGGAGGAGGCCCGCAGCTTTATCATGAATGAAGAGTTCTATCAGTGGCTTGAGGAGCCAGAGTACTTGGACCTGTACAACAGGCATCAGAAAGAGATAATTGACCGTGCTAAAGAAGACTTCCAGGAGCTCTTACTGGAGTACTCTGAGCTGTTCTATGAGCTTGAGGTGGATGCCAAGCCCAGCAAGGAAAAAATGGGGGCAATCCAGGAGGTTTTAGGGGAGGAACAGCGATTCAAGGCGCTGCAGAAGCTTCCAGCTGAAAGAGATGCTTTGGTTTTGAAGCATATCCACTTTGTCTATCACCCTACCAAGGAGACCTGCCCTAGCAGTCCTCACTGTGGAGACTCCAAGATTGAACAAATATTAGCTTCACGTTTCCCCACTTGTTACCCTTTTTTTGATTTGAAAGCTCATTTTGGAGACAACAAGGCTGACAGGATTAACCTTGTCATACTTGGGAAGGATGGACTGGCCAGAGAATTCGCCAACGAGATTAGGGCTCTCTGCACAAATGATGACTGGTATGTGTTAGACGGGAAGATGTATGAACTGACACTGCGTCCAATCGAAGGAAATGTACGCCTTCCAGTAAACTCTTTCCACACCCCCACTTTCACCCCTCATGGATGTCTGTGTCTGTACAACTCAAAAGAGTCTCTCTCCTATGTGATCGAAAGCCTTGAGCGACTAAGGGAATCAACTTTAAGTCGAAGGGATAGCCAGCTAGCACAGCTGCCAACATCTCTTCTCTTGGTCACTAAAAGGGGTGTAGGGTCATATGTGGACATAGGTGGAGAAACTGCCTTAAACCTTATTACACAGGGACACCAAGTTGCAAGGAGACTACAGTGTAGCTTTTTAGACCCAGCCTCCCCTGGTGTGGGCTATGGCCATAATGTCAACGAGACTCAAATCAACCAGGTGCTGAGGGGCCTATTGGATATCAGAAGGAGCACATCTTTTAGTAGCAGCTCTCCACCCCTCCTGCCTGAGCCTCCAGGTCTGAGAGACTCTCCACATCAGCCGGCCCCTGATGCAGACCTTCGCATTGTCATGTGCTTAATGTGCGGAGATTCCTACGACATCGAGCAGCTCCTGTCCCCTTTCCTAATGCATCAACATTGCAGGCCTATGTCCAATAGTGGCACCTCTGTATTGCTAGAACAGACAATTGGTGGACACAAGCTGGCAATAGAGCTCTCTCTGCTTTCGTACCACGCTTCCTTCACTTTGCGGAAGAGCAGGTTAGTACACGGCTACTTTGCTGTGTACTCTGTCTCAAGAAAAGCCTCCCTGGAGACCCTCTGTGCCTTCTTATGTGAGGTTCAGGACATCATCCCAGTTCAGCTGTTGGCAGTGGGAGATAGCCAAGCAGAGCTCACCGACAGCGACTATGCCTGTGAACAGCTGATTCAAGGGGAGGAGCTTGCCCATGAGATTGAGGGTCGTTTCAATAGTCTGATCTGTGGATCTGGGGGAGTGGTTGGAGGCATGCACAGGATAGAAATGTTCCATTCTTTCTTGATGGAGGTGGTTGAGAAACGCAACATTGTTGAGGCCACACACATGTACGATAATGTCGCTGAAGCATGCACCAATGAAAATGTGTACTCCCCACGCTGCAGTTCTCCCAGTCCCGTCACCATGTTTTTGGATTCAGAGGATGATGTAGAGCCATCACCACCGTACTATGACGGCACACTCTCTTCTCATAGTGGGGGCTACAACCTGCCTGACTTGGATTCCAGTGACATCTCTGTCATTTCTGACATCAGAGACTTTGAAAACAAGCTTAACAACAAGGTACCCCCACAAGTGAGAGTGAAACCAGGTGTCACTTTTGACTTCCGGAAGGTGAGCCGTAACCCATACATTGATACTCTAGGCCACCGGCGCTCCCTGCCCTCTGCTGTTACCTGGGTTCCTGGTGGGGATGTGGGCTATGATCCCTCAGACTATGCTGAACCCATTGATGCTGTTTCAAAACCCCGCCCAAGCAACGAAGAGATCATCTACTCGGTTCCACATGACAGTACACAAGGAAAAATCATCACTATCCGTAACTCCAACCGGATGCACTCCAATGGAAATGGCTCAGATAGCGAAGCAGACAGTAGCTCTCTGGAGAGAAGGAGGAAGTTCTCAGCAGCAGGGGTAAAGCCTCGTCTTTATCGTGACCGCTCCAAGCGGCTTGGCAAATTCAGCAGTTTCCGTACAAGCTTTATAGGCAGTGATGATGAGATGGGAGCCCTTCAGAAGTCCAAGGAAGATGACTATGGGACACTCAAAGGTGAAAGTCTTGTTAATGAGGAGATTGAAGACCCAAAAAAGAGGAATATCCTGAAGAGCCTGCGACGGACAGCCAAGGTGTGTATTATACCACTTTTTTCTTTATTTCTTGTTCAAGTCTTATTTTCTTTTACTTGTCCACAATGTAATGCATTGAGTCTGTTCTGTTTTTCAACTGATTTCTTAGTAATTGCTCTTGTGAATTATCTTTTAGTAATTTTTAGATGTACAGTGGTTCTACCAGAGATAGTATACATATTTTTAAACTTCGGAAATGTCTTCAGGAGGATATGAACAAAGCAAGGAACTCCTGGTTTGCCTCGATGGGCTACAACTCGTTTGTTAGAATCAAATGAGTGCCAGTTAGAATCAAGAAATCAGAAATCCTTTTTCTGAAAGACTGATGAGTCCTCTTTCTTTCTTCTACACAGAAAACAAGACCAAAGGCCCGTCCAGCTATTCCCAAGCCCATGGAGAGCAGTTACTTTGGAGTCCCCCTTGTCAGTGTGGTGTCCCCAGACAGACCTATCCCGCTTTTTATTGAGAAGTGTGTCCGCTTCATTGAGACTACAGGTTAGTTTGTTTATTTTTTAATTCCTTTAACCTTTCATAGTGTGCCACTGTGCATGAGGTCTGTGCAAATCTGATTACAATATTGACAGTGGTCATTTATCTGTTGTTATTTTACACAGGTAAATATGATATTGGTGGTGTACCTATCATAATATCTTTTAAATCATATTCCACCTGTTCATTACTGCAATGTTATATAAAAGTAATTCATGGATTTTTTCACTCATAAACCCTGAACACTACCAGCATCTGTATTGTCATGTCTGTTTGCGATGTAGCTAATAAAGTGTTTCCAGCCGTGCCCCCATGTCTTTTCACTGCTACACTCTTTTTCCTTTAGGCCTGAATACAGAGGGTTTGTACCGCGTGAGCGGCAACAAGTCAGAGATGGAAAGCATGCAAAGGCAGTTTGAACAGGGTGAGTTGCCGATCTAACTTATTTGAACCAGCTGTTTGACATACAATTATGTGGATGTCTGATCAAAACATAAACAAGAGATTTACTAAAGGAGTTACATGCAGCAGATTGTTCACTCCTGATGACAGCTACTTTTGATTGGTGTATTCTCGCTGCTCTCTTTAACTCTCTTTCTCTCTGTGCAGACCATGGATTAGACCTAGTAGAGAAAGACTTCTCCATAAACACTGTGGCTGGAGGCCTCAAAAGCTTCTTCTCTGAGCTGCCTGAGCCCCTGGTGCCTTGCGCTCTGCAGGTGGACCTATTGGATGCTTTCAGTAAGCAAATACTGCTGGGCTGGGAGGGTCTTTATTAGAACATAAAAAGATTATTTCTTTAGGAGGGAAGGGTAGGTTGTTGCAGACCTGCTCTGCTCTCTTTGGGATGTTTTAGTGCTGCTAAGAATTATTATAATGGTGGTGTAGAGGGACATTTCAACTTTTAAGTTACCCTTTGAACAGGTCTTTGATGAGGTCTCTGTTTTAATTGTAACTCTTTTCTCTGTGCAGAAATCAATGACAGAGAACAGAGGCTATACACTATGAAGGATGTCCTGAGGAGGTTCCCCAGGGAGAATTATGATGTCTTCAAATATGTACTGAGCCACTTACACAAGTAAGTCCCCTGTCTGCTGTTTAAATCCCTTTCATGGATTTGTGGGTCTTCTGCAGTAGACACCCATCTGTTTTTCTGCACTTGATGATGAGAATGAATAATTAGTGTCTATTTGTGTGTTTTTCCCAGGGTGAGCCAGCTGAACAGGCTGAACTTGATGACCAGTGAAAACTTGTCCATCTGTTTCTGGCCCACACTTATGAGGCCAGACTTCACCACTATGGACGCTCTGACTGCCACCCGCACCTACCAGACAATCATCGAGACCTTCATCCACCAGTGTGCATTCTTCTTCTACAACCAGCCCCTCCTGGACTCCCCCACTGGCCTGGCGGGTCTTCCTGCCTCGCCCACCACCACCCTCAGTGGGAGCTCTGCCTATTCTTGTTACCGCTCCTCCCCTCCCCACACCACCACTCACTTCAGCCCTCTGCAGCAGTCCCCACCCACCACCCCCCAGTCTCCCCTGCAGTCTCTGCTCCCGCCACTCCACCAGCATCCCCACTCCCACCATTCCCCAGCCGAACAAGAGACACTGTGATAGAGGGTGAAACCATGTGTGCCCATGATGATGCTGGACCTTATCACCAACACACACACACACACACACACACACACACACACACACACACACACACACACACACACACACACACACACACACAACACACACATAAATACACACACACACACGCATGCAAACATGCGTGCGCAACAAAAAAAAAACGAAACAAAACGTGCACTTGCACACTATATTTCTGATCATGGACAACCTAGATTATGAAAAGAAGAAATGGGAAGGGTCTTGAGAAAACCTCCCTGACCTGCCATTTGTATCCATATTTGTGTGAATAAGGGCAGGCTACCATTATCAGTGACTCTTCCTCTGCCCTCTGTACCACTGACTGTTGAATCTGCTTTCAGCTCAGAAGATGAGGACAGAGGTTGCCGTCACAGCAAGCCTCGCCTCTGTCACTTCTGTCAAAACTACCACTTATCCGACACTACCAAGAAAAAAAGGAACCTTGATGTCAAGGTGGAAGAAATGTTTTGTGGCCACCATGTTTTTTTTTTTATCAGCGTCAAACTGTTTTAGTTCTTTTTCTCATGAAAGTACTGCCACTGGATTTTTAGACTGTTCCTCTGTAGGTCCTTTGGGCAGCAGGTTGCTCTTGTCTGCCTGCAGTGCTTCTCTCATAGGCTCTACTTGAGGGGTCAGCATGGGGAGGGAAGGGAAGAAGGGAGGGGGGGGGAGGGGTTACACATCCAGGGATGCACTTTAATGATCACTGTTGTTTTTCCCTCTAAAGGGTTTTTTTTTTTTTGTTGACATTCTGTTTTCTTGTGTTTTTAATTTCACAGCTCAAACAGCCATACCCATTGCCTCTACAGAGCAACTTTGTTTACATCAAACCTTTTTTTTTTATCCGCAAACTTATCTGAAGCACTTTTTGATAGTGTAGTGTTAAATTAGAGGAAACGCCACATTGATTACTTGTCCATAATGTTTGTTTAGTGGTTGAGTGTGGCAACATGTGCAGGCTTGTGAAACGAGATCCTTTTGTAAAAACTTGCGTTGTTTAAGTTGATCCAGAGGTCCCATATTAGGCTGATGGGAAATCTGAATCCACTGACATTCCTCATTCATCCAGCCATGTGAAAATAGTTTCTTTTAGGATTTGTCCTCTCTAGCTGTTGGTTGATCAGAGGCGATGTTTAGGGAAGTTTGCATTATTTAGACCATTACGATATCAGAGGACTTTGCCTGCCACCAGTCAAGTGAAGGAAAAAAAAATTGCCATTTTTGAATGTGTAACCTTGTCATACCATAACACACTCTACATTGCCATCTTGTGTCCATGGAAACCAAATGCTTGAAACATGATAGGTTGCTGGATGTGTTGCTGTGGCTATCTATCAAACCAAGCTCTTTGTATTCATCCAATATTAAGGACCTTTAACTTAGAAGGTTTAGTATCCTCAACACACTGTTACTGCTAGTTCTGCTTTACAATACAAAGACCAGTAGAAGTTTAATGTCTGTGAATGGGGCACATTCAGGAAGCACCTACGGCCGTTTACCTGCTCTTGTGTATACGTTTTGTGCTAGCTCATTGTCCTCCTTTTTCATGGAAAAAAAAGCTGCACATTTTCAATGGTAGCACTGCTAATGGTGACCCTACCATTTTAAACATTAAAACTGAGAGGAACTACTGTCTTTTCAGTGGGGAGTGGAAACCAGTTGACCACCAGACGCAGGTTCTGGATGATTGGGGCTCTGTTACAGTTCTTGGGTGCAACATAGACCGGAATAGTACGGTTGTTGTAGTAGTTAATGGGACCATCAATTACAGGTACTTTTGGAATTGCAACACTGTTGGAAGTCAGTCATTTTAAGTGTTCATAAGATTAAACTGAGGGCTCTTCTCAACAAGCTCAGAGCGAGAAGCTGTAACATTAGGACTGGCACAGAACGAGTCTCACTATATCACGATTCCTGGGAGAAGATATTCTTGCTGCGACACTTCACTTTTGACGAACCTTGGCAAAACTGCTGTTCAATGAGCAAAAAGTGGGTGCATACTACTCTATAATGGTTGTTTATTTGTATGTTGGGGAACACAACCCTTTAGTCAATGGTAGAAAACATTTCTAGTGTGTATTTCAATGATTGAAAGTCCATTTTTACAATTTTTGTGAATGGTTCAAGGCCACTTACGGTAAGTTTAGTGCATGATTTAAAAAAAACACACCAAGGAAGATGGATGAAAGCCTCTTCCTATTTAAAACATGAAATTAGTACCAGAAAACAAACAAATTGCTAAAGTGAAATAGCTGAAATGTGAAAGTTTATGTACTGTGCACCAAGAGCAAACCATGGAATTTGTCTGACTGAGAAAAGTGTTTGAAGATGAAGGCCTTATGTGAACTGTATAATAGTTAATAAATTAAATCTTGTAAAATTGACCTTGGCTTCCTTGTGGTGCTTTTGTTTGTGTTGTTTATTGAACGTCTTAACCCCATCCGCTGATGTCACTAGTTTTGTACCTCAGCTATGAATGAGATTGGAACGTCTTTGTTAAAAATGCTGTCCAAGATAATATTTTACAAGGTAGGAGTCAGTATAATATTGTCCCAACAATAGGGCCAAGGGAATGTAGAGTATCAAGCATGCATTTTGGTGATGGCAATTTTCAGTAATACCTGAGAGGAGAAGGCCCTTAACAGTTTTTTGTAAAACAGTGTTTCACCTGTTCTCATCTGAAAAAAATATTGGGCAGCTTATTATTATCTGAAATTTTCACTATGGGAAAGTAGTAATGAGTTTCCTCCCTGACAACTTGACAAACATCAAGGCCCAAGTGCTAAACCCAGTATGTGTGTGCTAATTATTTGTGGTTTTGATCTTAACTTTAGCTATGTACAGTGTCTATGAGTACCTGAAAGGCATGTCATGAATACAATTTATTATTATCATCATCTTGATTATTATTATCATAAAATGCAATGTAATTAATGTCAGGTGAGATAATCTACTATAATATTTGGTATTAAAACAAGGAACGTTAAATGAGAACTGGGGACAGTTATTCCAATCTAGGTCAAGACTTGGGGCTGATCTGTCTTCCCCTGCAGATTAATGACAATGCTTTTTGATACACTACGATGTAATACAAAATAAACTCAAAGAGGTGAGCACTGCATGGAGGTGTATAAGCGTTGTGGTTGACATTGCTGCTTCACAAAACAATGGTTCTGGGTTTTAATTCTTGCCCTTAATATTTTTAAATCTCCACCCCTCATTCAAGGGCATTGTTGCCTCACTGCAGGCTGGCTCTGGGTTTGAAACCCAGGAGGAGTCTTCCCTTGTTTAGAAATAATTTTCACATGCCAGGCATATTTTTGATGTGTTACTCAAGTCTGGTAGTTCTTTTGGCCCGATCCCCTTCCTCACCTGTGTCTCAACTGGCCTAAGCTCCACCCTTCCAATATATAAAAGCCTCGTGCCATTCAACAGCAGCCTCTAACAGCCAATGTGGGCACTGCTCAGGTTTCTGCCATCAGGACCCCTCAGCTTTGAAACAATCTGACTGAGGAGATAAGGCATTCAGAATATGTGACATCTTTGAATCCATTACTTAAAATTCCCCGATATAGACTTGGTTTTGCCTTTAACCCTCTGACGTCTAAGGCATTTTTCCAAAATGTTTCAATGCTTGGTCTCCTTCTGTAAAAAGGCATGTATAATATCACCAGAGTAATGCACAACCGTGTAAAATACATCCTTTTCCCCAGCACAACCTGGGAAACCAGAATATCTACCACCCAAGGATGTCAGATGAAGACCTAAATAGTTATTACGCCATAAATACAAAAAGAAAACCGAAAAGCAAACATTTGATATTACAGATGAAATAAATGTAAAACAACAACACTATGATATTTGGCCTCCTAAATGGGAACTCCTATGTATTGGTGATCAGGTGGGAGTAAAATAAACACTAGTTATCAGAGATCAAAAACCGTAGCCATTTATTGAGCTCTTAGCTTTGTGTCAAAAATAGTTGTAAAAAGCATTTGTTCAATTTAAAAGACCATCTTCATGTAAAGCTGTTTTGCAAAAAAAAAAAAAGGGTCATAGATATGTTGTTAGTAGAATAAGCTGCAAAGGATGAATGTTTCAAAACAGAGAACAGGCTGTGACGTCTGTTTCAGGTTCAGCCTCTGACTGGAAAATTAAAAAACAAGATGGCAGCGTCCGCGTTAGCCTAGTGAGCTAAGATAAAGTACACTATTTCACTAAAATGTTTACATAAATCATCTCGAATTACATGCATTTTGGAAGATTGGGATCCGGATAGTCACTGAATATACCCGGGTCTTCTCAGTGGGATAGAAATCTCCGGATGTCGCTGAAACACGTGGAGTTTATCACCTGAGAGCCGCGCAGGTGACCAGCCAGTGGATTTTACAGTAAGTTGAAACATTGTACCTTTCCATTTTTAGAGCTGATAATGTACACAGCCCAGCTTATACATCTTTCGATCTTTATTCTTATTTTTAATCTTCTTTTGGTTCAGTTAATTTTGGTCATCTTCCAACTTATAGAAACTTAGAGTCAGAGATTCATAATAAAATAAACAAGTTAAGTTATGCTTTTCAAGCATCATAAATAAAACATAAGCAAAGGAACAAAAAAAGGACCCAAAATATGTAGGCTGAAGTCTTAGCTTATTAAACCTACCCTTTTTACATCCATGTTTTGTTATCTCCCTTTAAATGTATACAGAGCAGTAAAGAAAGCAACAGAAGAATATAAGTGTTTTATAGGCCTTCTGTCTACCCTAATCTCAAACAAATTACATGCACTCTGTTGTTCATTCTTCAGTTTTATACTTGATAACTATCATAGGTTTTAATACATTTAGAAATCTTTTGTGGGTATTACAATCTTTCCTTTCTGTTTGGAAGCCTTTCCACAAACGTACCCAGCTCACTGAAACACATGTTTCTTTAACATTTGTTCTGGTCTTCTGTTTTTGTGAACATACATTTCCCTCTCAGTTCATACTGACATTCTCTTATTGAAACGGTCTCTGAATGCAGTCTGATGAGGTGTTGTTGTATGCTTTGTAAATCAGTTATACTATTTTAAATCAAAATGTGTTTGTCGTTTCACGATAATCAGCTCTGATCTGTTTATTATTCTGGACGATCTCTTCTTAGAAGTATGATACTGTACAATATATGTCATGAATTTTGGTTAAGAATATCTTATTTTTTTTCAATATTGCGATGGACTTTGATAGTTTGGTTTTAATATAATAAACGTGTGTTTCCAGCATAGTTTGTGATCTAATCGCTCCTAAAAATGTATATATATACATATATATATATATTCAGTGTAATCAATCATAATTTGTAAAGGCAAACAGAATAAAATTAAACAATTTGGACACACAACAAATAACATTTATGTACAATATAAACAATTTCGGACCCAGCACTGACCCTTGTGGGACCCCACTTGTAACCCTCAGCACTCAGACTTGTTGTTGTTTATTTGCACATAATGATGTCTATTTTTAAGGATTTGAGTAAGCATACTATTACTTATATTAATATATGGTCAATCGTGTCAAATGTTTTTCTTAGATCAATGAAAACTCCTGCTGTATATTCTTTATTGTCTATTGCTGTGGAAATTTGTTCCAGCAGCTCCATCACTGCCATGTGGATAGGTTTGATCTAAAGCCTTATTAATGTCCATTCAGTAAGTTGTGGTCTGGTCTTTGCACAACATACTTAAATATCGATTCTCACAGCAGATCTTCCTATTTCTTTTCCCTTTCTGTCATCTCTTTTTATTTTTATTTTTTATTTTATTGATTTGATGTCTTTCATTTTCTTTCTGTGTTTCATTTTCGTTCTTTGCTTTTATCCCCATGTAGGCCTATTGTTTTTACTTTTTCCTGCTTCAACTAATTTCTTTGATTGCTATTTATTGTTTTAACCCTTTCTGCTCTGTTTCCTTTTTGCTGCCTTTTAACCTTTCTTATGTCCTTTGCCCTGTTTGCCTGGAGTCAGGCCATGCAGTGTTTGTTCTGATGTTGCCTATTTGAGTTTAATGGTTTGTTTGTTTTTTAATGTGATTTTTCTTTTTTTTTACCTTTCTGTGATTTGCTTTGCTTGTTTGTAAACACTTTTGTCACACTCTTGTTTATGTTTGAAAAAGTACAGTATGTCTAAGATTTTTCCAATAATGCGTCTAATAGGTCATAAGCATAATCAAGCTGTGGATGTAGCAATTGTGCAGGGTTGGCTTAGGCTGTGTCGCAGCAATATCTTTTCATGGGGCCAAGAATTCAAGTTGACGCCTTGGCTGTAGTAACTAGAGGCTGTTGTATTCAGGCACTGATGCAGGTGAGTCTGAAAAGCATCAATTATTCACAGCATATCCGTCATGAATGACTGAACTCTTTGGGCTAAACACTTCCCTTACAGTGTCTGTTCACCTCCGTGGAGTGGTTGGAGATTAATATGTGATGTCGCCATCTTGTGGCTGCAGAGCAGCAGAGCTTGGATTAAGTGGGCAGGGAATCATATGTCATTTGTTTGAAATGTTATGTACATTTTAGCTTACATATTTAACTTTGGATATTTTAGGATTATCTCACAAGTTGTTTTAGGGCTCTCTGTTTAGATGCATTACTGGAGATTGCACAAGAATCTGGTGCCAAAATGTTACACCACAGCTATGGTGATATAGGTGTGAAGAATAATGATCTTCCACTAACTTCTCAGCCTCACTAACAGTCTAACACATCCAGCACCTACTGTTGAGGTGCTTTACTCACATGTTTTCTTTTCATATTTTCTGCTTATTTTCACACAAAGTATAAGCACATCTGACTCATTCGTTGTAAAACCCATATATATGTTTTGATGGCAATTCAATTAAATGAGGCTATAGACATTTATATAGCTTTTTCAGACATTATCCATATCACGGAGCACATAGCCTATTAGTTACCTGAATGTTATGTCCTCTGTGGATAATGTGTCGTTCGGTATCATTATCAGGTTAAGGCAGTTGTGTTATATGCACAAGATGGATGTGGTCAAATTGTTATATAGCCTACATTCTCTGCAGATCAAAAACTCACCAACCTTCATATCTTATCATTATTGGTAAAAAGACACTGTCATTGAACTGAAGCAGCTACCATCAGTCAGAGAATGCTGGAAATGTTTACAATTTGATGAAAATTTGCCTCAAATCTGAAATTCGGTCTGTTACTTTGGAGCTCAGAAGCTGCATAAGCTCATGCAGGGGAAGATAACAGAGCAGGTTGTTAGCAGGGCGGTCTAACACGTCTCCCTAGGCCTGACAGTCAAACCTGTGGTCAGAGGAACCAAAGCTGTGTAATGCGTCAAAATAATAGATTAATAATTCATCCCTAAATCTTTTTTTCTTTTTTATCAATCCATTATCTAACATTTATCTGGGGGCCGAGCCGCAATGGCAGCAGGCTTAGCAAGCTGCCCCAAATGTCCATCTTCTCAGCAACATTTTCTGGTCTACCCCTGGGTCTCCTCCCAGCTGGACGTGCCTGGAAGACCTCCAAAGGCAGGTGACCGGGAGATATCATAATCAGATGCCCAAACCACCTCTACTGGCTCCAGCTGCCTCTGAATGTCTGAGGTCCTCACCCTATCTCTAACGCAGAGCCTACCCTTTTCAAGCCCCCAGGATACTTGAACTTCTTCACTTGAGGCAGGGATCACTCACGACCCAGAAGTTGCAGTCCACCATTGTCCGACAGTGAACCATTGCCTTGGACCTGGACTTAGTGCTGAGAATGTGGACAAAGCTCTCACTTTGGTCATATAGGGACCTGGTGGCTCACAGCAACCCCGTATTGGGACTCCATAGTCCCACATTACACACCACATGACCCCCGAGGAACGTGTTCGAACGCCTTCTCTGATTCAAAAAAACACATTTAGACTCGATTAGCCACCTCCCCAAGAAGCCCTGTGAGGGTAAAGGTCTGGTCCACTGTCCCACAGCCAGGTTTTCAGGTTGCTTGTTTTGTATTTGTGATCTCTTATGGTGAAGTAACATGATGTAATTCACTCTACTCCGCTCAGTCTGCTGAAGTGCGGTAAGTGTTTGTGATTTTATAGCATTTTAACACTCTATGAACAGGAACATTAGCCAACACTTTTATTATTAACTAGTTTATACGTGTTTCTGTCTTTTGCTTATACTGCTGTGGTCACAAACTTGATAATTCCTCATTCGTTGTGTGAAAACATCTTTGTGTCTCAGATCTCTCTGGTTGGATCAACATGATCACATTGTGTATGTTCAAAAACAGGGGCATTCAAAATGAACATCCTATACTCAATCAGGCATTTACCGATATTTAAGTCATGTAGCTTAAAGGCTTGGTGATGAATTAAGTATCAATAGGCTTCTCAAAATACCCATAAGTTCTAATTTATTATGATCTCAGTCCAAACATAATGTGCAAACAGACCTGTTGAAAAGGACAGAAGCCATGACGTATGAAAGATAGCTTTATTGCACAAGGTGTTAGAATGATCTTTTTAGTTTTTGCTTTCTTTTCATAGAAAATGTACTTTTGAACACAAGCAATTGCTATAACAAGCAACTCAAACAAATGTTTGGGATACCCTCAACATTTTTTTTTGTTTGTTTTTGATTTTCATACATATTTTCCTTCAATTTTTCCCTTTTAGCAAGCATGCAATGACTTTTTGAGGATGAACAAAATACAAAATAATAAAAAAAAGTAAACAGGACAAATGACGACATTAAAAGACCTTTAAAAAAAGAATAAAAATTCAACAAATTAGTATCAAAAACATAAAGGGAAAGAAAAATGTTTTTGCCCACTTCAGAAGTAAAATATTTATTTTTGATACTATTTCAATTTTGAAATTGGGGCATTCAACCCTGATGTGTCCCCTGGTTTATCTGAAAATAGCTCTTCATACAAAACTGTGTTTATGTACAAGACTTAATCTATAAACAACACTGACAAAGGTAGAGATGATGGGTCTAGTAAGTTTAAGGGGGTGAATTTGAACTTTAATTTATCGGAACGGGAAAAAGGACAGGAGTCTGAATGCTTAAGGTTTACAGACTGACTCCAGTCCAGTATTTACACAACAGTTGTTTGTGTGACCAAAATAGCTACGAGTCCCTGATTTCACCTGGCTGAACTGATTTTAGCCACAGACCAAATACTTTAGTACTGCTTGGCCCCTGGAAACAAAATTTTGACATAAATCCAAACAAATTTAAAAATGAATATTATGACTCAAAATAAAGAGACCAATAGAAACACCCTTCCTTAAACAAATAAACAAACAAACAAAGCAAATGTGTAAATAAATACAAACCACATAACACTTTCATGGAGATGTTTGAAATAGACATTCCAAAAGGTTCGTTTGTGAATGTACATTAGCGCAAAATGGAGGGGTATGAAGATAAAGGAAGTGGGACATATACAGTACTTCAGACAGGGCAACAACAAAGATATCAATTGAGTGAATATTATATAATTTTTCAAACTGAACTCCCTGACATATAACACCGCTCAACATTATAATATTTTTACTTCATTCACATCATGATGGAATTTCCTTCAGCTAGTTATCACGTTCCTTAAAGAGCGAAGACCGGCTGAGTGGCACTGTGGCTGGCTGAGAGGTTGGTAGGATGTTTGTCTCTGTTACAGAAGCCTTTAATTCTGAAACACAACTCAAGTCTGTACATTTACGCTACATAAAACTTATTTGTGGATTCACTTTGATTTGGTTTCTAAATCTTATCATAATCAACAACCACTCGGGCTCAGTCTAAGTGACATGAGCAGGCTTAAATACATTTACAGAAAGCTTTCTGACATCTTTTCCGCACGGTGGCCATTTTCTTCTGACATCACGCTCAGGGCGTGAAGCTCAAATGCTGCTATGTTTTTATGCTGTATTCTAGGATTAAGTCATATAAAGGTTGGGGATCTGACCAAATAATTTCATTTCACTTCTTAATTGATCAACAACTAAAAAAAATAGACAACAGCAGAAGCTATGACGACAGCATCAGTCGCTGGCTAGCTAACATTTTGTCTAGGCCTTTATGCCCATGTGGTTTAATGTGTCGTCTATAGGTAGCTGGAACACAGGACACAGCTGTTTGACACGACAAAAGCATTTGAACTTCCAACCCTTAGCATGACGTCAGAGGAAAATGATCTCCATGTGAGTATGGAGAATAACTGTCTCCATCAAACAATCTCAGCAAAGAGAACCTTCCTGCCTTTTCAGGAATTGACACTAGAACTTGCTAGCCTAGCTTGCTTTTCCTTCCTCAGCGTGTGGCCTCGAAAGGAAACACTCTTCTCTTAGTCAGTGTACATACAGAAACATACAGAACATTCCGTAGATATACTAAACTTTTTCTGTCATTTGTCCAACCTTTTTTTAAATTTCTCTTTCATTAAATTTCATGATTGAGCGATTGTCTCATTCTTAAATTTGACTTTAACATTAAATTGCTGTAAATACTACTACACCATTGTAGTACATACCATTTATACTTTGTCATAATTTCACTTAAATGTCAATAATATACCTACATAGAAATATATATGTAAATTCTTTATAATACCAAATATTCTCTATTTGTAATGTGAGGAATTATAGCTGGCTCATTTGGGTTGTCATGATTGTTTTAAAAAGTCAAACACTGTTCAGCTGGAGAGAGAAAGATGTGTGGAGAAAGTTAATGTGATAGATTTTTTTTTCTTTTAACATTCTTGGACATAAGTTAACCTGAATGATTTCTTTTGGATTCACCATTTGGAGAACATTCTGCCAATAGCTATTTGGGACCTTAAGAGACACAAAGGAGGGAAAGAAACAGTAAGAAAAGGGAACTTAACTGGAAGTCCTGCAAATTGACAATAATACTCAAACTATGGAGGACAATATGCGTGTACGTATGAGAGACAGAATGGCCACACAGCTTCATACTGGCTATCGTAGTCTTCATCATCATAAACACAGAGCTTTAGCTCCTCAATTAAAGTCAATATTTCCAAATGACCATAGAATCACTTCCTGGGTTTTTGCTGTGCAATTTCCGCAGGAAATGAGCGGAACTGAGCACCAGCCGGCTGGAACTGTTAGTTGGAGTTAGTAAATCTTTTATAGAGTCCCAGGTGAATATGAAAAGTAGGGTAAACTGGGTCTCTGTCTGGGAGAAGATCTATCCCGAGTAAAATTAGACAGAATGCTGGGCAGTTCACCATTAGTTGGGTTTAATGTAAAATGTTTGCATGCCCCTTTTGGCCCTGGCTGAAGAGTACCAACGCAGGGCGAGCTGAGGAGAGGGGACAGCAATGCAAGTCTGTGCAGGAGAGTCAGCTACACCAGTGTGTATGATTTAGAGTATGCCCCTGCACTCTGTTTCTGGAGTCTCCCCAGTGCAGAGGAGCTGCTCTCGAGCAGCGAGTCTCTTGAGCCCCCCACTTTGTTACTGTTGGTGGGGTTGCTGCCCGTGCTGGAAGTGGAGGCTGTTGCTGCGGTGTTGGAGCTAGGCATGGTGAGAGTCCTTTGGGGCAGGGTGGCGGTGCCCGAGTTCACCCCCAAGCTGCCCAGCCCAGAGTGGCCCAGCGTCAGTGCCTGCTGCTTGGAAGGGTCAAGAGTCTTGTGACGACCCTGGGTGTGATAAGCCCGCTGCGTCAGGCTGCGAATTGAGGCTTCTCGCGGTGGCACAGCTGGGCACGGGTCATGCAGCTCCCCTTGTTTGCGGAAAAAAGGGTCTGTCTTCATGTAAAGGGGAAGATTACAGAATTCACCTGTAAAAAAACAGGAGAAGTCAGGATGAGACCATACATTTAGGTCATTTTGAGTTCAGGAGTTATATTTTACAGACATCTCAATAAATAGGGCTCATGTATTCATTTCCTACATTGTAACACATGAGTCAGGGGTTTTCCCTACTTTCATTATCAATCGAGAAACACGACTCGACTCTTTGCTATTTTGTGTGGCTTTAGTCCTTGAAGCGAAATGCCTCATATCATTATTGTATAAACTATTCTTTAATTCAAACGAGGATCTTTTAAAGTTCTGTAAAAGGCATATGATCACATTCCTGCTCTGTTACTGTGTACAGTATTGTCTCTGCTTGTCTCTTGTCTCTTCCTACTTACTTTTGTTGGCGCGGTGGGGAATGGGAACAGCCACATTTTTACCACGGTCATAGTCCTGCGGTTTTGGTGGTGAGGCAGTGAAGCGGCAGATGCCCGGCTCAGACGGCGTGCTCAGTGAGGTCATGCTGTCTGCCGGGTCATTGGTGCCCGTGGTCATTTGGTCCGATGAGCTGTCGGAGATGAAACACTCTGTAATGGTGAACTTGGCGTGCTGCAGGTGCTCCTCAAGCTTGGCGTGCTCATAGGCCCTCGCCAGCTCCTCATAGGTGGAGGAGGCGCTCTCTGTCGACACCATGCTGTTGCGACCCTTATCTGGAAAAATGAAAAGAGAAAATCATTTCATTAGCTCATTGTCTTTGTTTCCTTTCATTTGTTCCAGTGGCCTGTTGCACCAACTATGTATACGTTCTATTCATACTTTGAAACTTGTTGGATTGTCTGTGTGTCCATTCATATAAGTCAAGTTAGATAACATAAAATAACTCAAGTGGTTTATAGATGGTTGAATGGGTGTTTTATCCAATAACTTGAATTCTTAAATAAAGTTTGATCTCAACCAGAATGTATCGGACTATCTACATCCTGGCATTTCCAGTTTGAAACTCCTCAAACTGGCCTTTTTTATTTGAATAACTAAAATTATTCTCTTCTAACTACGTAGAGTAATGCTCGGCTTTCACAATGATTTCAAATTGCTCGTAGCTACACTGTCAGAATATGTCAATATTATATCCAGTATATCAATAATTGCAGGTGTTTTTGGACAATGTAAATACATTTACTTTGTTGTCATAGAAAACAAGTAATGTTTTTGGTTACAATTTTGATATGGTCTCTGAATTCTGATGAGTTAGCAACAAAATTCACCCATTTTTTATTTCTAATCCTACGATAATATAACACTACATACAGTACTCATTGGTCTCATTTAACAGTAAAAACTGTTTTTTTGAAGTAGGTGCACAGTAAGGTGTAAAGGTTAGAATTTTATAGATTTTCTCCATCATAAACTAGATAAATATTAATTTTTTGTAATCTTGAGTTTTGAGTTAATTTAGATAGGACGGTTAGAGTAGGAAATCGGGTGAAAGAGTGGGGATAGACACAGGAGGAGCCACAGGTCTGACTAGAACCTGGGCCGCCCACTTGGAGGACCATAACCTTTCTAAATTGGGTGCAACCTGTCTGCTAGCTAGGCCACCAGGGCCCCATAAACTTAATAACTTGATGATGCATTTGATGATGTATGTAAATTAAGCTTTAGTGTGATGAAAAAAACACCTTTCCAATGTTCCATAAAAGAGCTGCTTGTCAGTGTAAAAAGAGAACGTAACATATAATTAATGGGATTTACTTACCCGTGTCTTGTGAGAGGCTTGCACTGTAGCTGTCACTCTCAGTGGCTGTGATGCCATGAGAGCCCATCGTCCGCCAGTCTGAGGTCAGAGTTCGTGCCGAGGCTGTTGACTGGCTCTGACTCGGCCGGCTTAGTGTCCACTGGCTTGAGTATCTGTTCCTCGAACTGTGCGCTGATTTTATACTCTTCCTGGACACTGGATCTGAGAGAGGTCACAGTGATCAGAGAGCAGCTTGTGCATCACAAAGACTGTGTATCCATTTATTGATCCTCAAGAAGAAATACTATTCTTGCTGTCTCATGAGTTCAACAAGAGATCAAAGCTTTTGCCTGGATTTACCTGCAAAACCTGTCTTTTGTTTTATCTGGAAGACCTGCGAAAGTCAGTGTAAAAACCTTAACCTGAAAAGAAAACTGAACTCACTCGTGCCTGGGCGGATGTCTGACATATCAATCAAAGGCCCTGAATTCTGGATGAGAGCTTGGTGGTGCAGAGACACGCCTGTGCAGAAGTTCTGTGAATTCACTGATTGGCTGAACTCGGTGTCTGTCACAGGAACAGCTGCCTTGTCCTCTCCTGTTGCAGACACGGGATGAGGAGAAACAGTTAAGGTTAAATTCAAACTACTTGATCAATTAAACTGTGTGTTGCAGTCGAATGCAGCCACATACCTATCTGTTTGATTCCTTCCTTGTCCTCAATGAGCAGCTGAACACGAGGGATGTCGATGTGGAGCCGTGGTCCTTGAGGTGGGCCCTTCACTGGAGTGTCTATACTGCGATTGTTCTTGCTGCACACACATGGAAATGACACACAAAGTAAGACTGATGTCTCTTTTTAGTTTTCGAACAAAAAGAGGTTGAACTGTAAAAAGTATAACTGTATAAAAAGCCAGCTGTTACCTGATAAGCATCTCAGCGAGGCTCTTTGCATCTAAAAGAAGACAATATTTTAATTAGATTATTGATGGCTGTGAGGTTTCAACTCGTCACACTTTGCTGCATTAATTCATTAACACACAATAACAGATCAATCAATGAATCTTTTTCTCACCTCGAAGTCGTTTGAGCCGCTTCTCTTTGCGTTTCTTGCGGATAATGAAGAGCAGAGCAACGCCCAGGGTAACCAGGATGACAGGAGAGCCGATAGAGAACAGCTTTTTCACGTCATCCCCTTCTCCACGAGCCGATTTAATGGGTGGGATTGTACCTGTGGCAAGAAGAAGGAATGACAGTAATAATTAATACAGTATAATACAATATAATATGAGATGTATAAAATTTAAAAAAATGAAGTTGAGGAGACACTTACTGCCGTCGTAGTCTGTAGTTGCAAACTGGGAGCTCTGGTTGCCGCACCCGGCACTGTTGCAGGCCTTCATTTTGAGCTCATACCAGGTGGCCTCCCGCAGCTCACTGAGGAAGAGCTGAGTTGTGGAGTTAGCCTTGAGGCTCTGCCAGGCCCAGGTGCCTTTAGGCCTAAAGTCAAGCATCATGTCTGTGATTGGGCAGCCGCCACTAGTCCAGCCCTGCAGGTTGAGGCCTGCATGAGTGGAGTTGATGTGGGTGAGCAGCGGCTGGTCCTTATTGAACACAGGTTCTGAAGGGAAGAGCAACAGGAGGTTAAAAAGATCACATGGCTGTGCCAAACGTCTCGGAGGCATACTATCTTTAAACACACCTTCTGACATTAGGATTTTTTTTTTTTCTTTTCTTTTTGGGTCCATTAATATTTGTATTAACAGGCAATAGCATTAATTCTGACAAAAAGAAAACCTTTCCACGGCTTCACTCTGGAATCATTTAGGTATTTTCTTTTTTTGAGGAAAATATTAAATAGTTATCAGGATTAAGCAAAGAGAAAAGAAGAAGAAGAAGAAAAATAGAAATAGTAAGCATCCAACATTTTTCGTCCGGTAAAGATTTTTTTCGGCACAAACTACTTGATCAGGGGTGGGCATTTGTTTCAAAACAAACTTGAAATAAGTTGTTAAAGCAAGAAAAAACAAGATGTTAAACTTTTCAAAGTCAAAAAACAAAGATCGGCCTTAGAACATGATTATTCTTTAAACATCTGAAATGATAAATTCAATAGTAGTCTAATTAGTCAATTTTTGTAGAAAGCCTGAGGGTTATCTGCTAACTCTTTTTACCTCGTCCATGTGTCTTGGCCTCAATGATCTCACTGATGCGCCCTGAGCCCACGCTGTTCTTGGCGGCCAACTTGACCTTGTACCAGGTTCCACAGCGTAGATTGTCCAACCTGAAGGAGCGTTCGCTGGAGCTGATAAATACGTCTCTCCATTCTTCTGTGTTGTCCACAGAATACTGAAGCACAAATCCTGCAGGATTACACAGCAAAGTTTAATATTCAAAATAAGTCATTCATAGTAACAACCATTGATAGACTGTGGAGGTTGCTGCTACATCTACTGGACACCAGGGGGCGACAAACAGCTAGCAATCAGTTTTTATTTTTTTGACTAGGCCTACTTCTTACCCAGAAACAAGGTTTTTTTTTTCACTGTAATCTGCAGAATTAGTACAACTGATTGCAAAATGGTGAATACTGAAAAAACATTATATTAAATTAGATAGAAAGTCAAAGTTGTAACGTGGGCAGGTTTTGGTGGGCAGTCTTGTCAGGGGTATACCTCTGATGGAGCTTCCCCCATTGTCCCCGGGGATCCAGGCTAGGGTGATGGAGGAGGTGGAAGTGGTGGAGACGGTCAAACGAGGCTGATCAGGAGGAACTGGGTATAAAGAAAGAGAAAGACCTTGACTTAACAACAGAGCAGAAACCCAAGAAAACAAAAACATCCTCTATTTATATTTACTACCAACTAAAGACACCTGCTTCCTATTACCTTGCACCACCAGGTTGACTATGATGGTGTCAAAGCCCAGAGTGTTAGTTGCCGTACAGGTGTAATACCCAGAATCCTCTGCTTTGACTGAACGAAGCACCAGCGTGCCGTTGGACAGGATCTGTTTTTGGCTGTCTGCAGTTACTGGGATGGCCGAGTCGTCACTGTCGAGAGATACACAGGTCATACGTGTTAATCCAGGAAAAGCAGAGTTATATTGGCCCCTTACAAGCAGCACTCTGCTGAGTCTGAGTGAGTCAAGATGCTGATATTTGAGTGGCATATGATGAGCTCTGACCTGTCTTTGGTCCATTTTATTGTAGGTGCGGGTTCCCCCACTGAGCTGCAGGGCAGACGCACTTCCTTCATCCAGGGTGTGGTCACTGTGCCTCCAAAGGACAGAATCTTAGCGGGGACTGCACAAACACAAAAAAAGGGGTCAAATTCAATCATTCACTTTCTCACACAGAAGATTATCAATACACCAAGACAACATAAAACTGCTTTGGCGTCTCTTTCCTCATGTCCAACTGCCACCCTCGGCTGTTTTCTAAGTCAGTTAGCCAAAGGGGAAAGTTCTTCTCTCTGCTGGGGAAATAAAAAACTGTAGCGTGGTATTTTAGCATAGCCCCTCCTCTGAACCGCTTAGTTTCACTCTATCTTTTCTCCATAGATCCTCCCCTTTATTGATTCTCTCCCGCTACCTCTCTCCCCAAGGGTCATTTTACTAGATAGGCCCTGTTCATCACCACATAATTAACAACAGCGTTTCTTGCAACATAGCCGCCACTCAATCAATACAGCAGCTGTCAATCAATAAGAGAGAGAGAGAGCGAGGGAGACGGGAGTAAGCAGGAGAGAAAGTGAGAGACAGAGAGCGGTGATCATATTAGCGTTTCATAGACATCTTCATAGCGCTCTTCCTATAACCTTTACTGATATCCCTCCACCCTTCTGCTCCACTACAGGCTCGCCTTGAGGTCCTACCTTTCCCAGCAGGCTCCACGATGACCTTTGAGCTGATGTTGCCTCGACCCGCTGTCGTGACGGCTGCAGCCCAGATGTGGTATTGTTTACCACGGGAAAGGTGCGTGATGCGGTAGAACAGCATCTCTGGGTTGGCCTCGTACTCACTGGGCGCCTGGGACAGAGGGCACACAATGCCATGTTAGCAAGATATGATGATGCAGTGACATGACAGTCTTGGTGGAGGCCAGTCTCTTCACTGCTGTAACATGTATTCAATATTTGTTGGAAGAACACACCCAGGCTTATGTTAGGTCTCAATGACTGGACACAAGGAATAAAATCGTCCTCATTCACAGAAGACATTAGAACTTGTCAAAGAAAGAAGCAGAGGTGTTACTAATGAAATAGGAGATAGCTCTGTTCTGTGTCTTAATAACAATTTAAGTGTGAAAGTGAGGCAACATGAACAATACTGGGATCCTGAAATTGGAGTTGCTAAATGGAATGCAGCCATCATTCATTTCAGCATTTACACCTGTGCTCTAATCACTCACATATTGAAAAGATGTTCTGCGAAAATGGCCGATGGCATGATGAATATTCTAAAGCAGGTTTTACTTTATTTTTGTGGAATACTTCGTAGTAATGTAATGTCGATGTTTTAAAAATAATTGATAACTTAACAGAAAAAAACCTATTGATAAAAGTAAGGACTGCCCTACACAATCAAGAAGGAAAGGAGGAAAGAGAGAACTACATTCACTCTTGACCTCATTTATTTTCCTTACCTTCCTTTAGGTAAAACTCAGGAACATGCAGAATGTAAGGCAGGTGTTTAAATGTAAAGACTTAACGGGGGTAATCTTATATAAAATAAAATAAAACGCACGGTAGCTCCTTTTCATGTATTCCATTGGTTTACTTGGTCATTCCCACCTTTACCTCAGGTTGTAATGAAAACAGTTAAAAGCTATGTTGATTTTTGACAGCAATGTTTCTCTTGTTTTTTTACTGGGGGGGACTCAGCGTTTCTTAGGTACAAGAAGGGTGGGCTCCAAAGTGTATATTTGGAGCCACTGTTTATTGATAAAAACAATGTTTCTATTTTCTTTTGGATTTATATTTTTTAAATGTTTGCCATTCTTTGATCTTTTTCATAGTCTTTTTAGGTTTCTTTTAACATTAAATTGCATTGACTTATGCAGATTTTTCTTTTTTGTTTGCCCCTTGAGTTTTTTTTATTGAGACATGCAGAAGTGTAAGTCCTTACTCTACTATGGCTTCCAATGAGGAATGAATATGACCATAGAAATAGAGCAGTAACAATGAAGCTTTAGACAGTTAAGCATTTGATTTAAACTAAGAAAATACTCTTCACTTGATAAAATACTGCATCAACACTGAGTGTCAGTATTTCCTATTTTATCTTTTTTTGGAAAGGAAAAAAACGTTCATATTTTGGGCCTCTATTCTGGATTAAAAGGTTGTGTTCCTTGGATATTTTCCAACAAACACATCTTTGAGAGGAATTTAACACTCACACCTGCAGGCACACAGGCACACACATTCCAACGTACACTCAAAAACACTTTTTTCCTTTTCAAACCCGTCCACTCTTCTATTTCTTTAATCTGTTCTATCTCTCTGTGTTCATCTCAAGTTCCTTCACCATTTGTTCGTTCCCTTTTTCCATCTATCCCTCTCTGTCTAGCTCAGTGAAGAGGAGAGGATGGAGAAAACAAGGATGGGAGGAAGGAGGATGTGTTTGGTATTTGTGTGTCTAGGGGGTGCGTTCGAAAATTCCTCCAGCATAGCGGCCGTGTTGTGGTGATCCAGGGAGTGATACGGGGAGATAATGAAAAGACGGACAAAAGCACTCTCATCTTGATGTGACTGATACCCTCCTCTGCTCCTCCCTTCTTCCCTGCCTGTCTTTCACACTCTCCCCCTCTTCGTCTCATCCCTCTCTTTTCCCCTCATTTCCCCTCGGCCTCTCCCTACCGCTAATGGTGTTTCTCTTTCTCCGTCTCTTAGACGTCTTTCCCCCTTCCCTCCCTTCCTCCCTCTTTCCTCCCTGCCCGTGCTCATTTACATGGCACTCATGCACAGAGAGGGAGGAGTATTTGTGAATAATAAGAAAGTGAGATTCTAGCTAGATGTCAGGTTTCACTGTGTGTGTTAGTGTTTGTGTGCACATGATCTAACCACAACTGAAATGCTGCACATGCATGTATAAATAGAAAACGTTGAAATGTGATGTGTGTGTGTGTTTGTGTGTGTGTGTGTGTGTGTGTGCGCTTCTTATGCGGCAGTGTGCATGTGTGAGCTTGTTCTCTGCTTCATTTGCATATCTACGTCTCATCACGTTGCCAAGACAACCTCATCTGTTCATCTGGGAGGGTAGGAAATAAAGCGATGGTGCAAACGCAGTGAAAGAGAGACATACACAAATTTTAACGTACACATGCACGGGTTCAATTAATTACAGTTGTTAAAGCTGAAGTGTTTCCACTGATAGATTTTTATCGGACTTAGAAATTCCTTACTTCTCAATTACCTGTTTTTTTTTCTCTAATGCCCTCCCCCTTTTGAGGCACAAACCACAGAGGAAGCACTTACCGGCTGTCCAGACCCTGGACTGGAGCAGTAGATGGTGTACTTGCGGATAACACCATTCGGTTTATGAGGTGGCAACCAGGACACCACCACACTGCTTGGTGAAGAGGGAACTGCCTTGATGCCAGCTGGTGGACCAGGAACTGTACACATTGAAAAAATAACGCATCGGAACATCAGCAAAGCGGGTATGAGCATTAGCTTCTGTGTGTTTGTGCAAACTCATGCTGGTTGTTGGATGCCCATTAAAATGAGCAGGCTTGTTTGCAGATTGCTAGTCTTATCCCACACTAAGCTGCTCCAAGAGGACTTGGAAGTACTCCCTTTGGGTGCACAGTGGTGACATATGTTCAGTCAGACATTGGTCAGCAGTTCAGGCTGTGTGACACCCAGCGTTCTCTTAACTCTCAAACCCACAAACAGATTAGGCAGCCGTGTCTGATCCTCCGCTGGCCACTTCAGCTTGACACTGGACACCACTTAATACTCTTACTACCAAGTAAGGCGTAAGAAGGCTTTAAAAGGAATGCGCAATGCAAAATGAAACACATCAGGATACTGGATACTTTGAGAGATGAACAATAATGCTTTTGTCACCATGGCCTTACAGTATTTGGTTCACAGTGTCAAGCCTATTCAAACCCCTCTATAAATATACCACAAGCTTGACACTGGGCCTCATCTGGGGTCCACAAAAGGTGCCTACTGCAGTGTAAGAAACAGTTCTCTAAATGCCTCTTTTCTTTCACGAGGCCCCCCTGATCCAATAATTCAACCCCCATGCCCTTGGACTCCCTCATCCCGCACATGACATGAGCGGGGATAAAAACACAGATTCAGGGAGGATAGGTGTAGTGAGGGATGTCTTAAAAGACGGATGTGGGGATGGAAAAGTGGTGAGAATGAAAGGTGCAGGTCCTGGGGGAGGGATGATGGTGGTGGTGTTGGGGAGGGGCAGGCAAAGGAGTCATCATTATCATAACTGGACCTCCATGTCGAAGAAGAAGCGTGAGAGGGAGGAGGAGGACGCGGGGGGGGGGGGGGGTTAAGTCCCATCTGGTGCCCAGAATCTACCCAGGTCTCCAGACACCGAAACAGTCTGCTGCACAGCTAGCTTGGCCCGTGTGATGATGAGGAAGCCCCACCTACATGAATATATTAGCACTCCTGTGCCAGTCAGCGGAGGGATGGTCTCATTAAAAGGGCTAAAACCCTCAACCAGATACACATAGAACGCTTTAAATGGGTTAGAATGATCATGAAAATGATTGAAATGTCTTGGCTTTGACATATCTATTATCTGTCCTTTTGTAGTCCTTGTATGTTTTGTCTGCCAACAATGAGCTCTATGATCACCCCTCTATCTTTACCATCTTCACCCCCCCCCCCAGGCCCCTCCTCCTTCCCCTCCTCTATAAAGAGACATGGATCTGTCTGTAATCCCGCCTCCGATGGTGTAAGCACAAAATTAATTCTCTCAAATCCAAGAGAAGTTAATCCCTCTGCCTATGGCAAGCGTACTGGCGGGAGGGAGGATGTGAGGCCCCGGCTGATGGCTGACTCCAGGATGCTCTACTCCAAGAGAGCACCCCTCCCTTCCCCCCGTCTTCTCCCTCAGCCCTGAGCTGTGGGCCCAAAGCCTCTTAATTCTCATTAGCACTGCTAATGGAGCTTCCAAGCATGAATGAGCTTTTGTCATGGGTTTGAGATAAAGCCCTGCACTCTTTTATATGTCCCCTCCTATCTCCTTCCTGCCCCCTTTGCCCTCATCCATTACAAGCATCATTCATGCCTTCCTCTGTTGGTATTTCACTCAAATGAATCAACAAAATAAGCTACATCTTTGAGACTTTGTATACTCACGGTCTTCTCGGGTTTGGATATATAGAACGTTGCTGCGGACTCCATCCCCGGCCTGTGTGTAGGCCAACACCTGAACGCTGTAGTTGGTAAACTTCTCCAGGCCTCGCAGCTCCACCTGTTCTCTAGTGGTGGTGATATTCTGCATCTCTCCCCACTCTGAGGAGGGACAGCATGCAAAATGTCTTTTACAGAATACTGTTGGTTATCTGGTGGGCAGGTAACACACTCAAACTCTGTATTCTACAATATCCATTTATATACAACTAACTTGCTTTGCATTTTGTGTTTTTAAGGAAATGATTAAGGGTGTTTAAAAAAAATACATAAATGCATTACCCTCTTTATATTGGGTTTTGCTATGTATCAAATTAATCGTGCTTCAATTATGTAGCTTGTTTTAGTTTTTGTTTACAAATGGCTCATCTTGTTTCTCTGCAGTTCTCATATCCACATGCACCAGACACAGCTGTAGCTCTACTCTTAATGCACACAGTGGTGTGTCTGCTCCTTTGACTATCTTCAACTGCAGTACATTTTTAAAGTTGCTCAGACATCTAAACTCCAGTTGTAAAAAGTTTCACACTCAATTAATTAAGGTGAGCCTGGTGCAGGGAGAAACCAGCTCCACAAAACAATGAAGTCACCAGCATAGGGCGGATGTTTTTAAAATGAGATGTTGCACCACAATAATGACATCTAAAGAGAAACGTAACAGTGGATGTCTCTCTCTCTTTCTTTACTCGACAGGTATAAAGGTAGTGCAGTTTGTGGTATTATTATTATGAATGGGAAATACTGAGCTGTATAGTTCTAGTCCTGTATAGATGTGATATAATTAATATAATTCTTTTTTGGGCCTTGCTCAAAACACTGAAGGAATACTATCCAAAAACGCAACCATCTTTAATTTAGACCTATCTTAAAATCTTAAAGGAATCAACATCAAATTGTGTTGTCACAAGCTTTTGACTTACATCACATTGTCCTCTAGAAGTGTGCTTTTTGCTGCTCTAAAATTAAATGTGGCAGCCATAGTATTTATTATTTTCTATTTTAAGTGAGCCACCGTTTTATGAAAAGAATAAAAAGGTCAATTTTAGCAGAGCTTATAAATGATGGTATCAAATCATTGCATTGACTAGCCGACTCTTTTGTAACAGATTTTAGGCATTATTGGGGGCATGTTGATACCACAACTGGTATAAAAGCAATTCTATTTTCATAGACATAGTTCTCAAAAATAACCATATAAATGTAAATCATGCCACTTTTCCAAAAATCTTCAGCTAAGAAGATTTCCTACAAAACACATTAGCTAATGCAAGTTAGTTGAAAATCAACTTAATTTTTCGGAAAACAGGACTGAACAGACATAGGAGCACACAAACACTCAGAATGTCCTGATTTCTCATCCACCATCAATACTAATAGAGGTAATAATCTTTGACACGTCAACACAACGGGGGAACATGGACAAATCCAAGACACACAGGTACAGGCAGTGCGTTGTGAGAAAAGTGCAGACACACATTCTGACTCAAAGCACTGACGGAGAAGTAGGCAGGTGTTTGGGAAGGTGGGGTTTTTAGTGACGTTTAGAATGAGATAGGTGATAATTACTCTGCATTGGCCACTGGGCCTGGCCCCCACAGCACCCACCTCCGTCAGGGAAGAGGGACCAAAACACAACCCGGTAGCCTTTCAGCACACCGTGGAGCGTCAGCCGTGGAGGCTCTGCCCATGTGATCACCGCTTCGTCTGACGTCACAGAGATGGCTCGCACGTTCTGAGGAGGCTCACTGGGCACTGGAGGAGAGCAGGGCACACAGAATTAGGGTTGCATTTTCAACAATCTTGTCAAAATCCTTGACTATTGCTGTCTCCAAGAAGACCTGAGTTATCTAGCATGGTGACTGACACAGTGATAATGAATAAATACCAAACACCAACAACCCACAGGCAATTTCTCCTGAAATAAATCAGTCAAATAAGGTCAAATTAGATCTCAATGGCTCCTTGTTCAGCATGAGCTCTTAGAGCGAGGAAGAAGAGATGAATGGGGGGGTGAACACTAAAAGAGAGCAACATAAATAGTGAAACAGCTACACCTTAAGCGGTTAGAATGCAGATGAGTATAGGGAGGGATGAGCTGAGAGGTGGGGGATCAAATCTGAAGGTAGAAAATGTTCACCTTTCAAGGTAATTGCAGTTTTAGGCTCAGCTTCAGATGATATAACTGGACAATAACTATCATTATTACTGCTGCCATGATCAGGGTGTCTGCCATTACTGTCTGCATATTTCAGTCTAATAGAAACGATAGATCTGAGGTGGCAGAAAAATATACATAGGATATAAAAGGATGTATGGACAGAGGATGGCGAGGAAGAAGAGAGCAAAACCAATGGGAGAAAGAGGACGATTCAGGGCAGAAAGAATGAAAGGAGGCAGAGTGGGAAGACATGTAGAGAGTAATAGGGTTCCTTGTTCCTCTATCACTCTCTACCAGCCTAATGAGGGCGCTAATTAAAGGGGAAAGAAGGATGGGAGTATGTGCTGCAGATCCATTTCTACCATTTTGCGTGTTATTTTTAATGTATGTTAACTATGTAAACTTATACGTCTGACATCTGTTGCTGCATTTGACTCTTCTCTATTAGCAATCAACGAGGTTTACTAATCTTTTAATTTGTGTCCTTCCTTTCTTTCATTAGTTCTTTTTCATTTTCTTTAGTCACTGTCTCAGTTGCGCCTATGCCCCTTTTACTTCATGCCACTATCTTTACATTTTTTTCCATCCTGCTCTCTTTGTTCTCTTACCATCTTCCAATGTGGTGGCGTTGATCTCAGTACTGGATGGACCCGTGCCAGCTCTGTTGAAGGCCTGGACCACAACCCCGTACTGGGCAAACTTCTTAAGATTGTCCAAGGTGTACACTTCACTGTCTCCTGTAGCTTTCATCTCCACTATGCTGTACTGGCCGTTGCTGCCTGGACCGTTCTCCCTATAGCCGATTTGGTAGCCTCTGATCACCCCGTTCTGCAGCTCCTTCTTTGGAGCCTGAAAGAAATTGGAGGAAAGCAATTTATATTTAAGTGCATGGTGCAGCAATAACGACAGAAAATTAAATAGAACTAAAGGGTTTCCTGAATGCAGAATATTTAATAATGCTCATAATAATAATTTTCCTTTTTTTTTCTTCAGGAATGTTATGAGGGGTTGACAATATTTACATTCCTTGAACTGATAATGTCACATCTATTTGCTAATTCTGAAATCCTCTCCTGCCGCCCTCAATCATTAATTATTAAGGCATTCGTGAGGCAGCATATTAATAAATAACACATTTAGGTTTGCCTAAGCCTTACTAAACTTCAGATATTAAGACAAGTCAATTTCCAGGACAAAGAGATAGGCAAGGTTTCTTAAGGTAAGAGTAGTAATGTTTTAATGTTGTGCATGATTATTTATAAAGCAGTGACTTTACCCTCCATGTAACCCGTATGCTCTGAGACGTCATTGGTTGGAGGATTACATCCATCGGTGGTCCGTCGGGTGCTTTTGATGAAAAACAAGTGTTAAAGTCAACGTTCTTAGTCTTCTTTTAAGACGGAGAAAAATAAGGCAGAAACAGAGAGCTTTCTGGAGAGACAACAATCACTTACGTGCTTCCTCGGTACTGATTGTGAGTTCTTTGCTCGGAAGGCTGCGGCCAATCTTGTTGTAAGAATACATGCGGATGCTGTAAACACAGGCTGGGTGCAGCTCTACGATGTTGGCCTGGTTGTTGGTGGGTGAGATGTTCCTGGTTGTGTACATATGATCCCAGGAGTCTGTCAAGAACAATTTTTGTTTTAGAGACTTAAAAGGCATGTATCTCAATTTCTTTAATTTAAATGGCATGCTTAAATTTAAGGAACCCACCTGATTTGTTTTTGTACTCAATGTCATAGCTGGTGATGATGCTGTTCCCATCAAACCTCTGGATCCACCGGAGGTTCATGCTCCTGTCCTTAACCTCCCTCACTTCTAGTTCAGGGGGATCTGGTGGTTCTGTTTGTGTGAGATAAAAAAGATTAAAAGAGAAGAGTTGAAAGTGCTGCACCAACAAGGTTTAACTGTATAGTTCTGGAGATCTGATTCTGCCACTGAGCAAATTGGATAATCACATGTACCATTTAGCACCATTTTCAGTAAGTTGTTAAGTCATTTGTCTGGAATGTGTCATGTAGTGGGTACAGATACCTTGCACAGTGAGTTGGATGAGCCCTCGTCCCTCTCCATAGGAGTTGATGGCATGGCACGAGAAGAAGACAGAATCTCCTCGCTCAGCTGGGTTCAGCTGTAAACATCAACACAATCAGAATAATTGGTAAATGTGCTACATGATGCACATCCGACAGCAGCAATAACACACATCTTCAAAAATGTGTGAGGCCAGGTAATTCCACCTCTTTTCTACATTTCCCAATGAAGTTACTAAACATTGCTTGAAACAAGTCTTGAAATTTTAGGTTATTCCATAACAATTAAGCGGAAATGATGATAATATCTATACCATGCTCTTTTCTATACTCTATACTTTTCTATAAATATGAAAAATAAAAAGCCATCACAGCTCTGTTCAAACAAAAGAAGATGCTCTATCCAGAACTTAAAGATCACAAGAAATCAAGATTTATGATTTGAAATACTTAAGAAAGTTGAAGTGATGCTGGTAGACTGATTTTGTTACATTCAGACAGAGCCAGGTTAGCTATTGCCTCTTCATGTGAAGCTAAGCTAACTGACTACTTGCTCAAGCTGAATTGACAGAAGAGTCCTATCAATCTTCCTAATTTCTTATCAATAAAGTCAAACTATTTTACGAAGCTAAATGAGTGACTGAACCTTTAGTAGTAATAGTCATTTCACTGCATTAAACAATCCCCTTCAGTCGTGAGAGCATTTTGTAAATGTAAAGGTCTCCTCCATGTTGTAACCTGTCTGACCTTAAGGGTGGAGATGACCTCATCGCCCTTCTTGTTGATGGTGATGGAGTAGCGGGGGTTTCTCTCTGCGTCGATGACTGTGTCTCCTCTCTCCCAGCGGATGATGATGGGCTGCTCCCCCCTCGCTGTGCAGTTCAGCTCCTTGGTTTGGCCTTTCCTTGCCATTGTGGTGTTTGGGTGGCTGGTGATCATGGCAGGAACTGAGGGGGAATTACAGACACGTGTCAGTGTGGCTAATAGTATTAGAGTAATGAGACACCGGAACAGGGATATAGTATGGGAATCATGGATATATTACAGATGTTACGACATCTCTATTTCTGCCCATCGTTCTCCATTTTCATTTCACGCTTCAAGCCCTGCTGGTCCTCCCTTCTCACTGTATGCCTTCATCTTCTACTCCTGAATCTTTTCCACCTCCTTTCCCCAGACATAGATTATTGATTGAAGGGGTTCCTGCGGTTTTGTTTTCATTACTAATTCATCAGCGCCTTTCCCAACCAAACATTCAGTAGCACACCAACCAGCAGCCAGAACACTTCAATCAATAGGAAAGATACCCCCATTTCAGGATGTGCAGGACAGAGGTTTTGTTAGCTCAGTAAATGCCACACTAGCCTTGGGCAAAAGTGCATCTTAGAAGGGCAGATTCTCCTAGAAAAAGCCATGTCTGTGTGTGCAGTTGCCTGTTTATGTGATGCAGGACATGTGAAATTAGAGGGAGTGTGTTCAAGATAAAGCAAGAATGATTGACACTTACTCTTGACAGTGAGGATCATGCTTTTACTGATGTCTGAGCCCACTCCGTTGGAGGCCTGGCAGAGGTAGTACCCTCGGTCGTCCTCAAGCACGTGCCGGATGAGCAGAGAGCCATTTGACATTATCTGGATTCGGCCTGTTAGTGGGACTGGGTGGTACTGCTGAGGGTTTCCCACACCTGCAAAACATGACATGAAGTGAATGTTTATTACTGCCTCCTTTTTTCATTATTTACATCATCTTGTTATTAAGGTTTTTCCTGTGATGACGAGCTGAATTACCTTTGGCATGCTTCCACATGACTTTTGGAGGTGGGTAACCCTCCACAGAGCAGTTGAGAACTCCAGCTTTGCCGTAGATACAATCCTGATTGTTAGGCTGCACCACAAAGCGGGGTGGCACTGAGAAACAAAAAACATGAGGTTAACATAAATGAATTAAAAGGAATTCTTCCAAAGAAATTTTTGAAAATGGGACCCAAGCTCCCTCTGCACATTAGATATCGCAGCTCATCTGACCCATATTCCTCATCATGCTGCTCTCTTTCTGCTCAAGCCCTCACCAGTAACAATCAACTGTCTCTCCCAGCTGACAGTGGCGGCGGCGTTGCTGGCGATGCAGGTGTAGTTTCCGTTGTGTTTCAGTGTCACCTTGGAGATTTGTAGGGAGCTCATGAACTCTTTGGTCTCTATTGCCACGCCAGATGCTGAGCCTGGCACGATGAGCTGGCCGTCTTTGTGCCAGGTGATGCGTATGGGCATGTCCCCAGATGACACCACACAGGCGATGTACATGAGCTTCCCCACTGAGGTAGAGGGGATATCGAAGGGCTGGATGAGCGGTGGCACTGGGGGAGAGAGAAAGAGTGCAGAAAGCTAGCTGAATAAAGGCAGTGATAGACGAGGAAGAGTGGCAGAATGGCCATCTGGAGCAATGCTGACAGAGAGAGAGGGGTCATGGCCAGTGGGCCTCTCTTCTCGCCCCCCCCCCCCCCCCCCCCCCCCCTCAGCCCCCATCTCCTGCAGCCCATAATAGCCGCTCTGGTTAGAGTCCAATTGGCAGGAAGAAGTCATTCCGTTGCCATAGCAATGGAGGTTGGAGTGGGGGTACTACAGCTGAGACATCTGGGGGATTTAATCTAGGCTTCATTATTATTCATCTAATTAAATCAGAGACACACTCACACGCAGGCACATGCACACAGCCTTAAACACCTCTGCAGCTGCCCTGCTACCATCGTTACCCCAATCACAGACTCAACAAAATACAGGCGCAGACTGAAACATAAATCTGTTCTAAAACACCATAAACCTAGACCTGAAGGATTGCTGTAAAGTTGCACTGCACAACTTTGAATATTGGTGTCTCCATTTGACAGTGATAATCTGGATACACGATACTGATTTGCTATATATACTGAGATATATATTCATATATACAGTATATTTATAAATGAATGTGCTCAAACATATGTCCACAAACAGCAAAAATAAGTCTTTTTGGGAAAATATGGTTAATCTCAAGCATATCAGATCAGGTTGATATCACATCAGGTTGACGACTCATTTTATCTTTATTCCACTCTTACTCTCTGATTTATTTAATGGGTATTATTTACCTATGGAGTACGCCCAGTCTTTTCTGCAATCTTACCTTTGACCGTGACATGGACCGTCTGGTTGATTGACACCTGAGGTTGGATCAGAACGCTACACAAGTAGGTGCCCTCGTCCGCGCCCTTCTGCACGTCGGTCAGCCTCAGGGTGCCATTCTCAAACAGCACTTGACGATGATTATCAGGCAGCTGCATGCCGTCCTTCAGCCACTTGATGGAATAATATGGGTAGCCAATCACACGGCATGTTATGTAGGTATTCCTACCCGCCACTGCGGTGATGTCTCGCATGGGTCTGATTCGGGGTGGACCTGGAGACACAGGGAAGAGAGAGAGGGGATGGAGGGAAGAGACGGAGAGAAACACAGAGGTCGAAGAGAGGGGCAGATGAGGTGAAGGAGGTCATGGCAGAGTAAGGGAGCAGCCACAGAGACAGGAGGTGAAGAGATAAAGGTTGAGGGATAGAGTGATTGGGGCAAGTTGACAGGTGGACAGGGAGGTTAGTTAGGCTCCCTTTATTTAAATGTGATTGAGGATATTTGTGGATTTAAGTCTAATCAGGAGTTCTTTGTATCTAAGAGATTGTGTGTAATTTTCTACAGTTCCCTTCGGATAGACAGAAAGATAGATCGGTATGAATAAAAGTGGCCAGGTAGGTATCTATACAGTAGATGGGTAAAGAGACAGATAGGTGGGTAGGCAGCGCTGCTATCGGTGAACTCAAAAAGCGAAAGTAATGCCTCCAAAAGCAGTTAAGGCGTGACAGCTAGCTCAAGAGCTAACCACAGCTAGCCATAGTAATAGTTCAAACTAAAAGTACTTGCTTACTGATTTGTCCCTGCTGTTATCTGCAATCAGAAAGGAAAATTTGCTGTTTTAATGACAAACATCTTAGCATTTCAATCAGTCATTCAATACGGCTAAAATGACAAAAAAATGCACCTCCAATCAGTAAGAAGAATACATACGCTAAGTACATACGCTACGCTAAGTAAATTGCTTATCCAATTAGCAGCACTGTTGTCCGCATTTTATCCACCATTATAGAAATTCTTTTTAATTTTTATGAGCTTTTGTATAAAAAATATTGTAAAATTTCCAAAAATTATGCAGTTTGTTGGTTTAAATAATACATTTTTGTCTAGCTGCTTCTGTAATTACTGCTTTCATTTTTTTCAGATAGATAGATAAATAGATAGATAGATAGATAGTCTATGTGAAATGCAAAGTAATATATTCCTCTCACTAGCCCCTGTGTGTTTGTATAGAGTCAGGTGTAGAGTGCATTTATATTGAAAAGCAGACAGGCACCTCTTACGTTTATGCGCGCTTGGTACTCGGCGCTACCGGCCGAGTTGCGTGCGACGCAACGATACACTCCCCCATCTCGAATGAGCGGGCTGCTGACGTTGACGTGGGACACGGTCAGGCCGTCCGACAGGGTGTACTGGCTGGTCTTGTAGGTGGAGTCTCGTACCACAGGCTCGTCGTCCAGGGTCCAGGTGATGGAGGGCGGCGGGGCTCCTTTGGCAGCACACATGAGGGAGAAAGGCTCGCCAGGATTCACCACCCGCTCGCTGAAGGAAGACACAATACGAGGAGTACCATCTAGGAGGAGACAGAAAGATGGGGAGAGAAAAATAGATATATAAAGACAGAGAGGTGAGACACTTTGGACCTGTATACAGATCAAAAAAATAGAAAGCAGACTTGAGGCTTTAAACATGAAGAACCTCTTTTCCTGTCATTTTGCTGCTACAATGCTATATTTCTTTCTTTCTTTCTTTCTTTACACAAAATTTCCCCTTGTGCAGTTTCCTGCTATTCCCTGTCCACATACCCTCTAACAGAATAATGGAAAAGTCCTGAGCAGTGTGACCCTTTCGGGAGGCGAAGCACTGGTAGGCCCCAGAGTGGAATTTCTGCGCTGCAGTGATCTGCAGGGTGTCGTTGTGTTGTCCCTGGATGGAGATGTGCTGGTCAGGGACAATGGGCTCAGTGTTGCTGTACCAGTTGATGGTGTATTCTGGAGAGCCCTCCACTGTGCAGGTGAAGAACAGGGTGCTGCTAATGCCAGTTTTCAGATTCTTGGGGGACAAGGTCACAAGTAGCGGATCTGGAAAAAAGGGCACATGTGTGAGAAAACTGATTTAATCTAAATCTTCTAAATCAGTTTTACTGAAAAGCAATTTGTAGCATGATTAAAAAAACGCTAGTACAGCTTTAATAAAATTGTTTTACTGTAGCTAAACTACTTCATATTTTCCATAAGGTTTAATGTGAACGTGATATCTACTACTTTGTATGTAATTCAATAATTTTTTGGTTTTGATTCACAATATATTATAAAAAACGAAGAGTTAAGTCATTTTTGAACTAGTAATTGGGCTTTAAGTATTTATTAGCCTAATGAAAATATTTTTATTGTGAGATTTATGAATAAATACTTAAAATAAATAATGCTAAATCTCACCTTATTTATATATTATATAAGGTTATGACATTTGCAAAACATGAATGATTTATATTGTTTACAAAAAAAATGTCACTCAAATCTATTTCTTATTTTCATTAAATTCCAATTGTTGTGTCTCTTAAATCATTCAGCTGGATTTAAAATGAGACACATGGGTTCATGCATACAATCAGCATTTACATACGTAGAGACAGGATAGACAGAGAGAGAGGGAAAGAGAGAGAGAGAGAGAGAGAGAGAGAGAGCACAATCAGCCATGGTGACTCAATCAGTTCGACGCACTCATTAGAAAAGCAGCTGGAGATATCTCTTCACATCTCTGTCCACTTGTGTGTGTGAGTGTGTCTGCGTGTTTGTGTGAATGCGAGAGCGTGTGTGTATGTACATATGTGTGTGTGCAAATGTCAGTGAGCAATAAGGCAGCTGGTGGTGTGTGCTGGGGGGCATCTCTGTGCCTCCCAACCCCCTCTCACCCTGTCAGAGTCACAGAGTGTGCTGCCATGATGTGCCCACTGGCAAAGCCCACCGCCTCTCCATTATCTCCCTCTGTCTCGACTCCTCCCGCTTTTTGTTTCTTTGTATACCTTACACAATGTACATTTATCTCCGCCTCTTTTATCATCTTGTTAGTACATAGTAGATAATGTCATTCCAGCACTGTCTGGATGTCTGATCGTCCCCTCCGTGAACCCTCTTCTTTATCTCCGTCTTCCTCACCCTCCCTCTCTCTGTGATGGTGAATGCTGCTGGCAGCTGTGTTACGGATCCAGTCTCAGTGAATTATTGCCCTGTCTCTCTGTTTGAGACCTGATATGACGGGGCATCATACTGCACAGCTTACACATATGTTTGTTACAGACACACTCGAGGTGCGACTTATATGTGTGCCTCAAACCAAAAAGCAGAGGAGCTGCTGAATGTGTCTGACTGCCAGGCTGATTCACAGAGAAGACAGCGTGGGAGTCTGTCAGGTTGTGTGTGTGTGTGTGTGTAGAAGTGTGTGTGTATTTGTGTTCACACACCTATAACGTGAAGCTGTCCAGACACCTCTTTGGAGCCAAAACTGTTGGTGACCTCACACGCGTAGCTGCCGCTGTCTTCCTGCCTCAGGTCGCTGATGGTCAGCCCTGTCAAACGCCGTGTCCAGCGGGCGTCCGAGGGCAGAGGGCGACCGTCTTTCAGCCAGCGCACAGTTGGGCTGGGGTAACCTCCCGCTATGCAGGGGAGCTCGATACTCTGGCCAGCGTACACCTCCCCTGCTTGGAAACTGTCCAGGATGGTGGGTGAGGATTCGTTGGGGTCTGGGGGGGGGGGGAGAATTAGGGTTATTTTTTTGGTGTCAAATATCCGTAAAACGTGTGTAAACTGACTAAACTAAGCTTCTTACCCATGACAGAGAGCCTGGCTCCATTGCTTTGGCGGGTCTCGCCGCTGTACTTATGTTTGGTGATGCACCGGTATGTGGAGAGGGCATCCTCCTTCTGAACATCAGAGATGTAAAGAGCCCCGAAGGAGGTCAGGGAGAACCTGTTACCTGAGGAGGACACATTTAATAAAGACTTACATTCATTTGAAAGGAAAACTGCTGACAGACGCAGAGAAACATAAAAAAAAACACTTGTACAAAGATGATCGTTCTGGTACAAATACATTGTGCTAAGAACAAACAGCTGCCTGAACAGTTGGCACTACCTGCCTGATAAAGTTTTTTTTCTCCCCTAAAACCTGGCACTCTTTCAAGGCCTGAAGGACCCGCAGCGGTCACTTTCACCACCCATAGATGGAGCAGAGACAGATTTACTGTTCTTCTACACACAATGTAAAACTCTGACGCACCATCATCACCAAACTATCTACATGTTCTTCCTTCAGAGCGTTACATATTTCATTTAAAGAATTGGAAACTGGATTGGAAACTCTGACCTTTCCAACATGTTTAAGCAGATGTAGTATTTAAAGACCCCCCGTATACCATAACATTCTGGAAAATACGGAAGATATATTGCTAACGTTATCCAAAATTACATAACGGGAAAAAATATGGCTTTTTGATGTAATTAAACTCCTTTTGTAAAATGATTTCCACACCCTGTTAGGCCTCACTTCAAAATAATGATTTAAAAGATACATGACATTAATGAAGCTGTATTTCTTGAGCCTTCAATATTATTTGTAAAAGGTTGGAAACTTACACTGCGGTCAGTGTCGGTTTTCAAACAGCAGCTATCGCATGTGTCTTTTAACATCTAAGCTACAGGTCAGCAGCTGAATTAGCGTGAGCGAGCTGTGCTGCGAGTTTATCAGCGTCAATATTTTATCCACAAGCTCAGTGTTTGTCTGGGTCGTGTACAGGAACATGAAAGGTAGCAGATATGGACCATGTGTTTGCATGGAATATGCTGCATGACCCGAGAGGAGGCACAGGCTGCAATTTCACAGCAGCCTTTGTTTGCCCCCCAGAATGAAGCCTTACAGGATAATGAGCACTTTAAGGCTGCTACTCCCACAACACCGACAACTCGCCTGTCACAACACTCTGACATAGGCAGGGGGGAGAGAGTCGGCGAGGGAGAGGGAGAGTCAGTTGGATCTGTCAAGACCACACTTTCTCTCTTCAGCAAGGGACAGAATTCATTCCTTCTGCAGGGATACCTCTGAAACAACACTGATTACACAATGCACAACACGTTATTTCCCTCACTATCCATCCTTGTTCTCTGAGTGGCTTGTATGTAAAATCAGTCTATCTACAGTTGACTCTTCATCTCTTTGTGTGAACTGTCTTAATCCTCCCTCTCTCCTTTTCTCGCTCTCTGTTCCTCAGCCACTTGTTCTCAGTTTCTAAGCAGAGTGGCAGACAGAGTAAAATATTAATTACTAAATCACTGCGCTCCCTCAGCTTTTATTCATGCTGACTTGACTTGATAACGAGAAACAGAGCCAATGTACCGTTCACACAGACACAAAGACATCGACACACAGCTGCAGCAAAACATGCAGAAATGCATGCATGCAGGAAATCAGAGTTGAATGCGGCTGTTGTTAGCTGTTAGTGTTGCATAATTTTTTTCCATTTGTTCTATATTTACATGATGGTGTAATGCTACAGTCTTTTTTCCAGGCTTATAATGGTTTTATTCACATGTAAGTGCAAGTATTACATATTTTTTCATTAGTCTGTAGTCAGTCTTTTACTCGAACTTCCTAATCACCACAAATCTAGGGAATATGTCTTAGACAGGTTTTTGTGTTTAATCAAAGTGTAAAAAGTCATACACATGAAAAGATACTGAGAAGAGAAATTCTCTAATTGGGAAGGAACGAAAGCTGATCAGCTGTACCATCAGAATACACACTAATACAAATGTCTGGACCATTAGTTGGACAATATTTAGTTCTCAGATCGTAAAGCATCATGAACTAAGAAGCCAAAAGAAACGAGAAGTAAAAATAGCAGCACTTCCTTCTTGCAAAAAGCTCTGAAGGAACCATTTAGAGGCTTAAGTGTTCTTCATCAACTATAAATGGTTCTTTACAGAGTTCTTTCACCCAGAAAGAAGCTTTTTGAAAGAGGCTGCATTGCCTAAAGGACACCAACATTGTTGGATTTTCTATGAGTCTCAATGAGACCCATTCATGGAAAGATTGTGCAAAACTGTTCATGTATCCCTGATGCAGATGGAGTCTGGAGGGGAACTAAAGCAACCCTGTGTAGTAACAGCTGGATCCAGAAATGTGTAGTTTTGTAGAGGAAAGATGTAAACAATCACATGTGCATTGGGGCTGTGCGAAAAAATCGATTCAAAAAACGATTGTGCTGTTAGTTTTTACGATAGTATATCGATTTTCCTGCCCATAACGTTGATACAATAAATTGATGAAATAGGTAAATAGACTTGAGCTTGTATTGTGTTTTTATAGTCTTCTTACTAGACAAAGCGCTTTTAAGCGTTGGGCCCAACGGATTAGTGAGCGTGACCTTACATCACGTCACATTCACACGCTGATGGCAGAGGATCAAATCAAATCAAATCAACTTTAGTTATATAGCACTTTAAACACAACATTGATTAATCCAAAGTGCTGAACATTGCAGAAACAAAGCATTAAAAAGTAACAGGCAAGAATAACAACAATAAAAAATAAAAACCAAAAAAAAAACAGGTTACTGAACATTAAAAGCAATTGAGTAAAAATATGTTTAAAGGCGAGTTTTAAAAACACCAATAGTGGGGAGAGAGACGGATGTCTGGGGGCAAAGAGTTCCATAGTTTTGGTCCTGCAATAGAAAAGGCCCAATCCCCTCGATTTAGGCAGTGACAGAAAGTTTTGTGCAGATGATAGGAGTTCTGAGAGGTAGGCGGGGGGGGGGCAATTAAGCATTTAATGCCTTAAACACAGTCAGAAGTATTTTAAAATCAATCCTGAGCTTGACCGGCAGCCAGTGTAAGGAGGCAAGAACTGGGGTGATACGATCTCTCCTTTTTGACCGTGTTAGGACTCTGGCTGCTGAATTTTGTATGAGTTGAAGGCGGGATAGAGATCACTGAGTGATACCAAAATAAAGTGAATTACAATAATCGATGCGAGTGGATATGAATGCGTGAATAACTTTCTCCAGGTCGGAATAACATTAATTTGGAGATGGATCGGAGCTGCATGAAGCTTAATTTTACAACCTGATTTCTTTGTTTGTCAAATGCCAAGGATGATATGTTAAAGATCCATCTACTTGCCCAAGGACACTTTGATATGTGGCTGAAGGTGCTGGAGATCGAACCCCCTACCATTTCGGTTGAGAGGTGAGCCTCTACCACTAAGCCACAGCTGTCAAGTTATTTCCCATAACTTTGTGTAATAAAAAACAACCTCTACCTTTGAAGACGGGACTGTACGGATACTAGGCTGGCTCCTTGAGTATATAGCTGAGCAGAGCAGTGGTGATGGAGTGTTTGTAAAGCCCTCCTGGTGTGTCTTTATGTACACGTTATGTTAGTGTCAGATACAGACTGACACAGGACTGAGACAGTGATGAGTCTGATCATTCAGTTTCTTTTAAAGGGGTCATATTATGCTTTTTCTGGTTTTATATGCTCCTTAGTGTGTTTTCCAAGTGTCCTGTGCATGTTTAGGCACATCTATTTGCAAAAATTCAAAGTCCGCAGAAACGTGGCTTCTCCTACGTCCTCCTGTTAGCTGCATGTAACGCTCGGTTCTAGCCCCCCTCGAAAACAATTTGCCAGTGTGACGTCTTGTCAGTGTGAGGTCACTGATCTAAGCCCATTGGTTAAATATACGAACCCCAAAAAGGGCATAATATGACCTCTTTAAATTCATAGGGTCCTTTTAATAATAGATGTTTTTACTCATGCATGCACACAAAAATTTGCAGAGATAATTTAATCCCACACCTTCTGCTTTAGGCAGCACACATGTATTTGACGCTGATTTAAATCTACAGATAGGCTGAAAGGATAAAATAAATGAATAAAAAACATTTAAAAGCTGATTTTTCTAAGTGTGTGTACTCCAACCTTGTGCTCTGCTTTTCTATGGATGTATGTACTGTAATAAAATGCCATTACTTAAATGAATTGTACTGTATATGTCCTCAGCAAACCCCTCTTGTATAGTAAAGGTTTACATTTGCTTTCATTATTTTAATCCGACAAAATTCCTGCGGCCTCTACAGGCCCGACCTGCTGCTGTGACAAATCCAAAGAGGTGGAAAAAAAGGGGAAATAATAGAAGTATTAATGTGTGAGAGAGAATAAGAAAAAATAAAAGCATGACAGAGTCTATAAATAGGATACATACTGTAGCCCATTTGGGTCCAAGATCTTGTGTGTGTGTGTGCGAGTGTATGTGTGTGTGAGTTGGTAGCAGCCTAATTTTCTCACATGCAAATGAAGGCGTCGGCGCAAAGATAACGAGGCCCATATTTCCACCTCCTCAGTGGGGCCATTATTTATTGATGTTCTGCATCTTTCCCCCTCCCCTCCCTCTCTCACGCTTTTCCTCATCCTCTCCCTGTTGCTAGGGTCTTCACACTGCCATCCTGCTACGATTTTGGCTGTACTTTAAGCAACAATTAAAGCACAACATGTTTACAATCGTCGAGGACACAAAGGTGGAACCCTCTGACTATATGTGACCGCAAAAATCTGAATGGCGAGTTGGTGATAGAGCTCAGAGAGAAGAATGGGCAAAACAATCGCATCAGTGTAAAGTGGCTAAAAATAGCTACTCAGATGCACATGGGTTTTGTAACCAATCACAAATATTTCCAAAAAACATGAAACAGAAAATACGTGGTACTGGTTTTCCCTTATCCTGGGTCTCAGGCTGGTGTTAGTCCACATCTGAACCTTGAAATAAGAATGATTTCATTGACTTTTAAGATTTATTTACCTGCAGCACAGGGATGTGTGTTGTGAGTGTGAGTGTGACTTACTCACAGAATTAAAAAAAAAAAAAAAAAGTCTAAAAACACTCGGGGCCTGTTCATTGGCAGTTATTTATGCAGTTTTGAAA